TTTACACTTGGAGCAAACTATCCCAGAACTTTCAAGGGAAGCTGTGGTCTAGGGTGAGAGCTATGCTTCATTTAGGGCAAGATGTAGAGGGAAGTTGCTGTTAAGTCCCTGAAGATCTAGGAGGGTTTGTTTATAACAGAACAGAGGTAAGAGGAGATGCTAGCAAGCTACATGAAGCAGAGAGTAAGGAGCTGTAAGCAAACCAATTTACTACTGATCTCAAGCCCTATTTGCATCATTCCCCGTCTTTTTAGTTTTTCTGGGCTCTGATTATCAGACTTGTTTTGTTGCCAAGCAACAGATAGAAATCACAAGGTCTCAGTTTTCCCTTATCTGTCTGCCACTGCCATATCTCCTCCTGCTGATCAGACAGTAAATAGGGCTAAGTTATAGCGTAAGCCAGCTGGGCCTGATAAGGGAAGGAAGTGACTTCACCCTGGAGCAGCTGTTGGACCTAGCCAACATGTAACTGCGGAAACAAGGACAGTGCTTATGCGTCTGTATTCTGAGGATGCTGAGCAGGAGGTGAATGGAAAATAAATTTAGGTGAGGGAGAGTTTATTGATTTGGGAGCACTCTCCAGAGAGAGGGGATTTAACACCCTGGCAAGGATCCTGGGAAACATTGCTATCAGGTTTCCATCATGGCCCTTAGAAGCTTGAGGAAAAGTGGTATCCCACACTAAGAGAAGTAGAAATGTCAGATTTGCCACAGCAGATAGTGCAAGTCAGAATCAAAATGCTCAGAGGAGTAAGTATATTAGAGTGACTACGCCATGTAAGGCTGAAAACCCCACTAGATATCAAAGTTCCAATTCAGATGCTCCATTTATTCAAGTGACAAAGAATTCTCTGGTGAGAAGGGAACCAGCATCACTGAGAAGCTCAGTGGTATCTCTGCTCTGTAGTCATGGTTAATAATAAAAGATGCTGCTGCTATGGGATTGAGTTCATAGATTGTAATGAGGATAATAAAATCCTGAAATAATAGAGGCCAAATGGTGGCATTTAACCATCAGTAAGGTACAATTATCCTAATGTGGCAAGATTGGAGTGGCAGCCAGAGCTCTTGACCTAGAGAGAGCTTAAAGAATGGTTAATAGAATAAATCATCCCTATGGAGAAAGCCAGAAGCTAACCAATAGGGTACACTCAATCTACACAATGAAAAAGATATCAAGGATGGGTGACAGAAAACCCAGAGCAGCAGCCTCAAAAAAAAAGCCACAGTCTCTTACCCCGTTTACTGACTTGAGCCAGTTTACCAATCTGGACCCCACTGACAGATGGAGAGGCAGGAGGAAGGCCCCTGTAACACCATGGTGAGGAAAAGGAAGTCATATGGTAATGACTTCCCCCACCCCAGTCCTTCCCTTAAGGGACCTATAGCCATTCACTTGGAAAATCATACACTGACAAGAAGGGAATGCTCAAACATTTGAGGGCTGTTAGACATGATCATTATCAATACCCATGAACCCAAAATATTATGGCCCCCAGTTAAAGTGAAGGTATTTAGGAGCCAAATAGTTAACAAAGTCCTTGCCCAGGTCTGGCTTACAGAAGGTCCACTGAGCACACATACCTATATGGTGGTCATTTCCCTAGTTTCCAAATATATACTTGGAATGGACACACTTGTTTGTTAGTACAATACATCAGTTCCTTGGTCTAGAGGTAAGAACTATCAAAGTGGAAAAGGTCAACAGGGAGACTCTGATATTGCACAGCCATGATGGGAAATAAAATACAGTACAAGGAAATGATAGATGTTAGTGCCTTTTTTGCTTCCTTTCACATCTCCATTTAATCCACCACACTTGCCCTGCGAAAGCCCAACAGTTCCTGGAGAATAAACAGACTGCTGTAACTCAACCAAGTAATAATCCCAATGAAAGCTGCTGTAGCAGATGCAAAATCCTTATAAGAACAGAGCAACATGACCTCAGGTAATGGTTTGTTAGGTAATTGATAATGATGAATGCTCTTTCCTAACCTTATCAGAAAGTAGAATACAAAAGTGTTCATATTCAAGTGGAATAAATAATAGAAAAAACTTACAGTGTTGCCCCAGCACTATATGTCTCTTCTTAATCTCTGTCAGAATACAGCCCTAAGAGACCTGAACTATCTAGACCAGGGGTCCTCAAACTTTTTAAACAGGGGGGCCAGTTCACTATCCCTCAGACCGTTGGAGGGCCGGACTATAGTTTTAAAAAAAAACTATAAACAAATTCCTAAGCATACTGCACATATCTTATTTTGAAGTAAAAAAAAACAAATGGGCAAAAACACCCGCATGTGGCCTGCTGTCCATGTAGTTTGAGGACGCCTGATCTAGACATTCCACAGAACATCCCACTGGTCTACTACATTGATGGAACCATGCTAATGAATTGGATGAGCAAGAATTGGCAAACATGTTGGGGGCCTTGGTGAGATATGTATACTCCAAAATATTCCTACACATTATTGAGAATACACTGTAAGAGTGAAATTTAGGAATTTTATGATCCAGGGCAGACTTTTTTGTGTTTGGTTAAAGAAAGATCTGCCTATTTTTCAATCATGTTTTCTTCTAAAATATTTATTATTTTACTTTCATATTTAGATTATGATCAATATAGTATTGATTTTTATATCTGTGTGAGGTAGAGGGTCAGCCTTCATTTATTATTTAATGTTAACTAGTATTCCCAGAATCATTTATTGGGAGGGGGGACTTTATTACTCTGTAGTATCATCTTTGAAAAATTAAATTACCCTATGTCCACTTTTTTAGGTTCCTCTATTCTGACCCATGTGCCCATTTTCTATCTTTGTGCCAACAGAACACTGACTTAATATTATAACTTTATAATAGACCTTGATATTTGGTAGTTTAAGTACTCCAGCTTTGTTATTCAAAATGGCATTGGCTATTCTAGGCCTTTGCATTTCCACATAGATTTAGAGTCTGCTTATCAATTTCCTCTGGAAAAAAGCATTTGAGACATTGAAGTTACATTGAATTAATAGATCAATTTTGGGAGAAATGACAACAATCTAAGAACATGGTATATTATCCTTGCATTTATTTAGGACTTCTAAAAATTGCTGTCAATAATTTTTTTAGTCAATAATGTTTTATATCACATATTTTGATAGGTTTATTACTATGTTTATTACTATTATTAATTTGATGATTTGATACTATCATAATTATCTCTTATACAAGTCATTTTCTATTTTTCTAGAATAAAGGTACATAATTAAATTTTATATCTAGACATATCCAGTGACCTTATTAAATTCACTTATTAATTAAAATAATTTGCCAATAGATTCTTTTATATTTTCAATATATGCACATCATGTCATTTGTGAATAGTAACAGTGTTATTTCTATTTCATTTGTGAATAGTAACAGTGTTATTTATTCCCTTTCAATATATATGTCTTTTGTTTCCTTTATTGCATTAGCTATAGCGTCCAATATTATGTCCTCGTTTCATTACTGATGTTATGGGGAAATGTCCAATAATTTACCTTAAGTATAATTTAAGCTGTAGTTTTTTCATAAATGTCCTTTATCAGATCAAGGATGTTCTCATCATTTCCTACTTTGCAGAGGGTTTTTTTTTTATCATCAATAAGGGCTGAATTTTATCAAAGTTTTAGCAACTATTCAAATGATCATATGATTTTTCTCCCTTTTTAAAAATTATTCTGGTGAATTACATTGACTCCTTACCCCAAAATGTTAACCCACACTTCTGTTTCTGGAATAAACCCAACTTAGTCATAATTATTCTTTTTATAATACCACTCCGTTCAATTTGCTAATGTTGTGTTTAGGATTTGTGCATCTACATTTATAACAGAAATTGTTAGCCAGCCTTTTAAATTGACTTTTGTCCTATTACAGAATGCCTTTGAAAACTAGAAATTATATGATCAGAAGTGTGCTCTCAGATGTTTATGTGGCAGTGTGCAGGACATAGAATAGACTACTGTGGGAAGCAGGTAGTGAGGGACTAGGAGGCTACTGGAGTATTTAAGGAGAGCTTGAACCAGTCTGGGACCAGTGGAAATAAAAAGGAGAGGGCGACTGTCTGGTATTTAACATGTGATTACATGAAAGTGTAACATTATAAAATATTGAAGATAGGGAAATTTGATTTGGACTTGGAAAAGCGTAAAAATAATGAGTTGACTTTGGGGTGAAATCCCATTATTCACCATTATTATCACCATCAGTAGGATGCATGCAAAGGAAAGACTGTGGTTTAAGAAATTGCAAAGGCATGGGACTACCTAACTGCTCAATATTTTAACGTCTTTAATTACAAGCTTTCCTTATGCTGTTTTGAAGTTAACTTTTAAAATTCTTTACATTAACAATAAGAAAAAGTAGGTAATGTTACATTCAGCGAACACCTTGAAAAGGGATCCGTACTTCATACCCTTCCAGTACCTTTCAAGACAGCACATTTCAATACAGATTGCTCTGTTCCTTTCCCAACCAGCAGGTGGCGCCCAAGCGCCCAAGCCGCACTCCCGCCTCTTCCCTCGGTTTCCAACGCAGCTCGCGTTGCTCCCGGGAGCGCGCACGTCCCGCAGCCCACGCCGGTCGATCGCAGGCGCCGTGGCCGCGCTCGTCGGTCAGTGGCGCCGTGGCCGCGCTCGTCGGCCGGGGTCCTGGGGAGCCGGACCCATGTGGAAGCTGGTCCCAGCTGCGGGCCCGGACCGAGGTAAAGGCGGAAGGGAAGCCTTGGGGCCGGTGTTCCCGGGAACGACGGCCGAGGGGGGGGCCCGCGCGCGACGCCTCCTGCGCCGCCTCCGTTCCCGCCCCGGGAGGCTGCGGGAGCGAATGCGAGAGCTGCGAAGCTGGAGCCCGGGAAGGGCGCGCTCCTCCCGGCGGCGGCGGCGAGCCGGCTGGGGGCGGGGTGCGCGACGGGCGGCGGCTGCGGGCGGGTCCCCGCCGCCTGGTTCCCCGCGGTCGGCTCCAGCCCGGGCTCGCGTGCTCTGGGGAAGTGAGCCCTGGCTGCGGACCTGCTGGGACAGCTGGTCTTGGGGGGACACCCCAGTCAGCGGAGGGTCTCCCGGGCCAGGCGGCGCGGTGGCAGCAGATGGCTGGGGCGTGTTGTTTTGGTGAAGAACCACGTGGTGGTTTGGGTATACGCAACCAGGGGAACGATTACTTTCAGTTTTGTTTCAGACTTTTAATGTGAGGTGGTCAGAACAAGTGAAAAAGTAGGTGTTTTTTTTTCCTCTGCATTTGCAGTAGTGGAACGTGGTTGTCATAGGTTAATTTGTTTCGTGTGAGTGGTCATTATTAGTTGATAGAAGGGTAAGCAGGTGTACTATGAGTGGGGTCTTGTCCTCGGGAAATTGACATTAGGATTGGAAAAGAGATCTATGTAGAGACTAAACGGACTGATATTGTAAGGGAGCATGAATAGGGCCAGACGAAATTAAAAGGACTCATGCAAGCATCCCTGTGGACCTGGCTTTCCTGGACTCCTTCCTACCTACCTGGTTATGCCCTTATGATCGCTGCACCACTCCGGTAATGAAACCTCATGCTACCAGACTGACCTCCACGTATCTCCTGCATATAGGCTGTTCCTCCTACAGTTTGTGATTTACAACAGTTTTTTTTAAGAACTGATAACCATTTCCCACTGATGTTAAATGCTATCTTTAACATGAAAACAAAATTCCAAAAACTATACACTTGCATTTAGTCTGGACGTTATTGCATTGGTCTGTATTGTTTACTCCTGGTCCATCACCATACTTTTTAACAACTATAGTTTTATGGCATATTTTGCCATCTAGGAGGGCAAGTTCCCATAATATTACAAATTTTTCTTGACTGTTTTTTTTTTTACATAGTTTCCCAATGAATTTTTGAATTTGTTTAAGTTCCAAACATACTATTATGATTTTGTTTGGTAATACATTCAGTTTATAGGTTACTTTGGGGAAGTATTGACTCTTTTCAGTATTGCTTTTGCTTTACAAAAATTATATCTCTTTCCATCTACTTAATTTTTTTATCCTTCAGTGAGGCTGTACTAGAAAACACAAATTTGACTTATAAAAAGTTGGTTAACATTTGAATAGCAAAATATAAATGTTTTATTTATCGTCATACCTATATCACATATGTATATGTGCATGTATTACATGTACACGTGTATGTATCCACTAATTTACCTTTTTTTTTAAAAAAAAATTTGTTTTAGGAGAACCATACAGACTTTTGACTGGTGTTGAGTACATTGTTGGAAGGAAAAACTGTGCCATTCTAGTTGAAAATGATCAGTCAATCAGTAGAAATCATGCTGTGTTAACTGCTAACTTTTCTGTCACCAACCTGGTATGTTACTCATTTTATTTCACTAACTTTCAGTGAGGGGCTTGAAATCTCAGAAGGTTATCTTGTTGCATATAGTGGGAGCGTTTATAGTGACTTTTCATAAAGCTGTTTAGATTTTATTTTGAAACTTGAAGCTTCAGTATTGTACTCTTTGTTTTAGTGATGTAGAAACTCAGAGGAAGTAGGACATATTTATTTTTATTTACTTAACTGGCATTTATTGAGTGTTTACTCTGTGCCAGTCACTGTGCCAAGCTTGGGAATAGAGGAGTGTAGAGCAGTAGATCCTCATGACTACTGCTTTTGAAGAGGTTATGTAGCTGTGTGGACACAGACATTTCTCATATAAGTTTTTGCAGTGGAAATTAATGTTTTACTAGGGAAAAGATCTGTTGCTTACTTATGCCCCACAGCTCCTTTGAATGGTTTTGAGTTTGTTTTAACCACAACCATGGGTGATAAATATGATAAAAATATATATGCTCATGATAATACTAGTGGTAATAAGAAAGAAAAGTTATTATTTTGAGCAAAGATTACATATATGCAAATGCTGTATTTGTTCAGTTATTTAGGTTTAGTGTCTATTCTTTTAGGTATAGAAAAACATTGTTGAAATTCCACAGAAAAAGTAAAATTGTTACTGTAAGTCAGAAATTCTGGCCTTTCACTCCTTATTCTCATTGGACCAGTTTTCACAATATGATTTCGATAATGAAAAAAAATCAGGAATGAAGTTGTCATTTTATACATGAAACAGACTATATACCAAAGCAAGAAATTCACAACTGTGTGAAATTGAAGGGTCAGGAAAATTCCCACTGACTTACAGAAATAAAATTTGTTCAGGGATTTAAGAAATTTCCCTAAGAGGAAATATTCGTTGCTAGTTGAGTGATCATTCTCTGAAGGCAACCAAAGCAGTAACCTACTGTGCTGGGAGGTTAGCCACCTATCTGTTGCCCAATCAAAAAGTTATCGACTTTTTCTGTTGAAACCTTTTTCCCTGGGAATTAAATGTAATAAGTGTTACTTATTTGCTGATTTTTCAGAGTCAAACGGATGAAATTCCTATATTGACAATAAAAGATAATTCCAAGTATGGTACCTTCATTAATGAGGAAAAAATGCAGAATGGCCTTTCTCAAACTTTGAAGACAGGAGATAGAATTACGTTTGGAGTGTTTGAAAGTAAATTCAGGTAAGATGTTTTAAAATTGATACTAAAGAATGGGCAGCTTTGTTTCATACCAAAAAAATTTTGAAGGAAAAAGGTGTTTAGAGATAATAATTGAAAACAATTCCTACTTAGCACGGTGGTGGACTTTGTGCCACATGTGGTTAATGTGTTTGTCAATCATAGATAGTGAATTAGAGTTTGAGTGGGCCCTGAGAGTTTTGATGGGAGCTATATATGTTCATTCCTCATAGATTAAAGTACAATGTTAACTTTTGATCAATGCTTTTTCTTCAGTGGGACTCAAGACTTAAGAATTGATAATTTCATAGGTTAGAATGTAATAATACATAAAATACATAGTAATCCATAAAAATTAAGATTAACATAAAAAGCTATGATGTGAGCTTAAAGTTTCAAAGTACTATAAATTGCCATTTCTTTAATTATGATAATATAACTTTATGTGACTTATTCTCATTTTCAGAGTAGAGTATGAGCCTTTGGTTGCATGCTCTTCTTGTTTAGATGTCTCTGGGAAAACTGCTTTAAATCAAGCTATATTGCAACTTGGAGGAATTACTGTAAACAATTGGACAGAAGAATGTACTCATCTTGTCATGATATCAGTTAAAGTTACCATTAAAGTAGGTTGAATGTCTTGTTATTATGATAAAATAAGTTCTATAAATTTAAGCTTAGTCATTGAGTAACCATACGTAGACTTTTTTAAAAATTTACTTTAAAACCTATTAGAACTGTTAGTTGCAGATTTTTATGTACCCCTTCCGTATCTTTATATACCATTTAGGCTTTAATGGCTTTTAGATAACCTGTTTATTATCTGAGATAAACAGAGCACGTAAAATTAGATCTTAGATTTTGATTTAGCATTTTAGAAAATGATTGCTGATATCCTTTCACGAAGAAGTTTATTACAGAGCATAGTTTATGTTTTCAGTCTAAAAGCAAAGCAACTGGAGATTAACTGCCAGTCTTCAAAGTTAGCATCTCATGTCTCTTCTATCAAGTTGTCTTCCTCTAGTCTCTGGTACCCTATCATGAACTCATGCTCTCTTATGTAATATTTATTTGATTTAAGGTCCTAATCACAAAGACTTTTAAGTTCTTATACTTTAAGATTACCTTAATGTATTTTTATAACCTAGAGATATGTAGATAAATACCTTTAGAAGATGCTGACTATTCATTAAAGCAGTAATATATTTTGATATATTTTCAGATTTTGCATCTTCATCAGATTTGGTTATATTCAAAGCTAATTGAAGAATGGCGTTGGGAGGTGATTCATCTCCTTTTAAATAGGTTGACTGTAGATCTGTGGGATTATTTTAGGTTAATATCTATAGTAAAAAGCAACAAGTATTTAGATTCCTTTATTGGATAATATAAAAATTTTTTTAGTATTTAATATAGTCAAATAAATTAGAGTATGTGTGTTATAACTAAAGAGGTGTCATGAAGAAAGACTTGCTACTTGGATAGATTCTCAAGTTAAACTTGCATCTTGATGGGGTTATCTCTGATCAAAGATATTTTCATCTTTGCAAGTTTATGAAGTTGATTTTATAAACTCAGTAGCATGATTAGCCTCCAGAGTACTATGTTATGTTGATAAATCCACAGATAGTAGGTTTATAAATAATAATGTTCATTTATTAGTTTACAGTAGGGATATACGTTTAGAGTGACAAGGATATTTAAATGTGGTTTCCAGCACAGTTCCCTTTAAGATAGTAAAGTACCTAAGAAATGGAGTAGGTAATCATACGCTTGCTTGGTAGGTCTGAAATAAGATCAGAGGCAGTTGAATCATCTTCAGAGGTACTTTTCTGAGTTTGTGACAGAAATGGACACTATTCTAGTGCCTGGGATACTAATGGCCACCTTGTGGATCTCTCCATTAGAGATACCAACATGGTTTACAGAATAATTCCTCTTCAATATTTCTGACCAGTCATGTGCCAAAAAAGAAAACCTCCTCATACTATTTTTTGATAAATTTTCCAAAAGTACAGGTTAGCTTATGTTTTTAAAATTGTTGATTATTAGAACCAAAAGGGAAATTAAAGAACATTCGATTTAACTTTTATTTTTTGTTTTTGTTTTTTGGGTTTTTTAAATTTAAAAATATTAGCGGGATATAAATGTTTTTGTTACATGGATAGCTTTTATAATGCTTAAGTCAGGGCTGTCACCTGAATAGTGTTCATTGTACTTGATTATTAGGATTTTAACCCTTCCCTCTCTCCCCTTCCCCCTTCTTGATTTCCAATGACCTTTGCATCTCTTTGTTACCATGAGTGTCCATTGATTCATTCCCAGTTATTACAGAGTACATGTGGTATTTGTTTTTCCATTCCTGAGATACGTCACTTAGGATAATGGTCTCCATTTCTATCTGAATTGCTGCAAAAGACATTATTTCATTCCTTTTTTTGCCAGAGTAATACTCCATGGTATGTATGTGTATACACACACACACACACAAACACACACACACACACACACACACACACACACCACATTTTGTTAATCCACTCCTGAGTTGATGGGCACTTGAGTTGATTCCACATCTTTGCAATTGTGAATTGTTCTGCAATAAACATTTGAATGCGGGTATCTTTTTGATAAAATGACATATTTTTTGAAGAACAAACTGAGGCATGGAGCAATTAAATAATTTTCCCCAAAGTCACAGGTGTTAGAATTTACTCAGTCCAGTGTTGAATTGCACATTACTACTTCATGCTGGGAGTTAATTATTTCATTCACTTTAGAGGTTGGTGTCTTTCAGTTTCCATTTTTGAGATCGACACCTTAAATCTTCTTGCTCCTATTTAGGCAATACCCTGTGTTATTAAAAGCATACATATAAACTTGTTAGTTGGATTCATTCCTACAATTAATGCTTCATTATTTTCATTTTCATTGTCCACTATGACATTTTCTAATTTTTGTCAGATTTTTTGATGTGTCTTACTTGAGGCTTATAGCTTAATTCACATGTTAGTTGAAGGTTCTTTTTTTCTCCCTTCTTATCTGTATGTATTTATTTTGAGCTTTTATTTAACTCTAGTTATTCTTTTGTTTACTTTCTTGAAAGGGCTTTATTGCATAGTTATAATCTTTGTGAAAGGCATTCAGGCTAAAAAGCTCTCTCTGGTCTTTATCTCTTGATACTGTCTTCTCTACAGCAGATATGTTACACTTCCTCAATTCTAAGGTATACTTTTAACATTTTAATGTTTTTGAAATTGGAATGCATTTTAAAAACTGATTTTATTTTATGTTCTACTCTCATTAAGCAGTTTTTAAGTTAATATTGTAATTGGTGGTTTTTTTATAATTGACTGATTATAAGGTGATTGGTGTTCTAAAACTAAGCTGTGACCAAATATTGACTTCTATTTATATATTTTATATATTGTCACTCCTTTATAAATTTATAGAGATGGGGAAAAAAAAAACCCAGTATAGAACAGTCTCTTTGTAGTTTATAACTTAAAATATTTCTTTAAAATAGCAGGGATATAAGTATGTATATTCACGTGTTTTATTCATTTTAGACAATATGTGCACTCATTTGTGGACGTCCAATTGTAAAGCCAGAATATTTTACTGAATTTCTCAAAGCAGTTCAGTCCAAGAAGCAGCTTCCACAAATTGAAAGGTATGTTATGTATTTCAAATATAATAAGATATGATATATTTAGGTTAATTCTCCCTCAATGATTATTTCAAGATGTAATGGTTGCTCTGTCATAGTTCAGGTTGTTAATGGAATTTTTTTTGTTCAAATGTAAAGAAAGCATTTCCCAAAATCTTTGTTAGTCCTTTCTTATTTCTGTGAAACAAATGTTAAAATATGTGCTAATATTTAAAGAAAAAAAATCGAAAGACTGTAAATGGCACTGTGGGCACTGAAGTGTGATCGAAAGAGCACATGTGCCAGTGCCAGACATCATGTGAGAGGTACCTCTGGAATTGTGTGGTGCAGCAGCTCCTCCACTATGTGCAGGGGCCACATAGTCCTGGGGCAAGTTATTAACAGCATGTGGCATTGGGAATGGAGCTCATTTCTTCTGAGCTTCAGTTACCGCATGTTCCTTAAAAGGGCTATATATGCAAAGCCACCCCCAAATGCCAAAGGAGCCAAGAAACCAAAGAAGGAGGCAGACAAATCCAGTTTATCAGTACAGGATGATTTATTAGGGGAACTTACTGACAAAAGCAGATTCTTGGGCAGGCACAAGACAGGTAGATCTCCACACTGCAACCTTCCAGACCCAGGGCTTAAGTCTTGAGGAAAAAATATACATCCTGTAGAAGGAATGTGTAGGTGGCTATGGGCATCACAGCCTATGATTTCTGCAACAACATCATGGGCTGTTTTGGAGGAAAGGCGAAACTTAAAATGAATAGGTGCTTCTTCATAAAGAGTGATACATTACTATCAATCAACTGGACATTTTGGATGCATTCCTGTACTGGGTGTTAGTCAAGTGAAGTAGCATTTAAACAAATAAAGTCACTCTTGTTCTCACACCTCATTTGAAAAATGAGACTAATTCCTGTCTAGCTAAGTTATTTTAAGTATTAGTAATGCAGTCATGTGTTTCTTAACAATGGGTACGCAGTCATAGAAATGCATTCTTATGTGATTTTGTCCTCGTGCAAAAATCAGTGTATTTACATGAACCTACATGATATCGCCTGCTACATACCTTGGCTACATGTGGTAGCCTTTTGTTCCTAGGCAGCAAACCTACACAGCATGTTTCTGTATTAAATACTATAGGCAGTTGTAACATGATGGTAAGTATTTGTGTTTTTAAACATAGAAAAGGCACAGTAAAAATATGAGACCATAATCTCATGGGACCACTGTCATATATGCAGTCCGTCATTGACCGAAATGTTAGGTGGTGCATGACTTTTTATAAAATCCGAGCACATTGGCTGGTATGGGAACAAGTGCTTGTTAAAAGAAATGTTTACTGTTGCTAGTTGCAACAGTATCTGGGAAAATTCATAATAGCTTTATTATTTTGTTTTACTTTTTTTTTTGATGCTTTGCCAAATTTGTGAACCACTAGACTAAAAGATCTATCTGTATATTTTGTGTAGTGAAACTTTGAGATGATATAAATTATAGTTGAGGAGAAAGATACGTGGGGTTTTTTTTGTTTTTGTTCTGGATTGCAGGTTAAAATGCTGAGGGTTTTAAATTGGTGGATGTTTTAGTCAATTTAATAGCATGAGAACTTTCTTATTTAAGATACATGTCAGTAGATTATAGTCTACATGGTATCTTGTCTATGTCGGACAATTTTGAATATTTGAGATTTAAAAAATTAAAATGTTATTCAAGTTAGGACTGATTTTAAACTGTTATAAGATATTTTGCTTAATGCAGGAGTTTTTTAGAACTATTTATACCTGATAATAGGTGCCTGCTTTTAAAGTAATCAAAAATCAGGTTTATCTCTTCATTTATCATTTTCATCTAGAAAGCTTTTCGTAGTTTATACCATGGTTAACAGGTAATATGATATTTTTGGGCTCTGGAAAAAGATCCTCAGATTTTAAAATATATGCTTCTTAACCTTTTTCGAGTCCATGACCCCTATGAGAATATGAAAGCACTGATCTCTTCTCAGGAAATTTCACGTACATACTACAAACTTGCAGAGTATTTCAGTAGAATACATTTTCCTTTGAAGCCTCTTCATGAACTTTCCTGGGCGAGTCCATAAATCCGGTAAATAATGACCGTTGCTACAGGTAATAAACTACTGTTAGTTCTAGATAACTTGAGGATAGTGATAAACTACTGTTAGTTCTAGATAGCTTGAGGATCGAGAGGTCTGACAGGTTATCACTACTGGTGATTTATTGTCTTAGAGTTTTTAGAATTAGTCATTGATTCCTCCTTCTATTAAGATTTTCAGATGTTTAATGTTTAATCTGGGTCCACTTTTGACTAAGTTAAGCATAATTTCTTTCTAGCTTCAGTTTTTGACTATTAATGTGGATAACTATAACAAAACATCTCTACTATAATAAAATATCTCTGCTGTAAGATTGTTGAATAACTCCTAATTCAATGTAACTAGGAAAGGTTTATTATTAATACATAAGCCCATATTTGATGATGGCAATTGATAATCAAATTTTTAATATTATTTTAATATATGTAGTCATTTGGCTTAATAGAATCCTGGACCTTATCTGGATACATTTTGATACACTTGTTGAAAACTTATGTGACCGAATATTTGATTATTAATAGAAAAAAAGGATTCAACTCTAAAACACTAACTAGTAGTAGGAAAGAGTTACACAAGGGATATGAATTAAACGTGGCGACTCTTTTAAGTGCATAAATACCTCCTTTGTTAGTTCCGAAAAAGCATGATCACTAGTCCTGGACTTAAATGAGGAGGCATACTATATTTTTACCCAACAAAAAGTACAGTCTTATTTAATGCAACTAGATCTATATCTTTGCACTGTTACCCAAGAAAGAAGTTCAAACAATTATAGTTTCATGTACCTGCCATGGTTTGTGATATCTCATTTTCCTAAATTGTCATCAAAGTAGATAAAGTCATTTTTAGAAGATTCCATTTAAAAGGAGTGTTTAATTTTGATAATCTGTACTCTAATAGAGGAAATTTATTAAAATATTCTCTACATCTAAATGTAAGGAAATTATCCACTAGAACAGGCGCATCCTCAAACTACAGCCCGCGGGCCACATGTGAGTGTTTTTGCCCATTTGTTTTTTTACTTCAAAATAAGATATGTGCAGTGTGCACAGGAATTTGTTCATAGTTTTTTTTAAACTATAATCCGGCCCTCCAACGGTCTGAGGGACAGGGAACTGGCCCCCTGTTTAAAAAGTTCGAGGACCCCTGCCCTAGAAAGAGGGGGAATTGGCTTTTATTCGAATTTTTGCAAATCTCTCATATTAGGAGGTGCTCTCTTAATTCATTTCAAACAACAGGTATTGTTTTAGAGAGATAACCGTTGGAAGTGGGGAGTCCTCTGTGGACCCGTTGCATTCATAAACAACTTGCTGGATGTGCCAAGAATGCAAGGCCCTGACCGTCCTTTCCGTAGGCCGTTTCTCAAGGTTATGTTTGCAGTCAGAAACCTTGAGGGATGAAGTGATAATCTCCCTCCTGTGACAAGAAACAGGCTTGTGTATAATTTATTATAAAACTGGAGGATTCCCAAGTTCAGTGTTTCTCTTTCCTGCAACGCTGTGTACACTTTATGTACCTTCTGCATCTTCCCCATGAGACTTGGTCAGGGAGGAGACCTGCAGCAAACGTACTGAGGCCCATGCCACTTGCTTTGTCTCTGACCTAGGAGTTTCTGTCTTCTGCCAGTAATTTTTGAAATGGGAACAGGTTGACTTATTAGCCTGTAATCAAATTTCAGACCCATTAGCCTGAAACAATCCAAATAAATGAAAGCTTGAAAATTTAGGAAGCTTATGCAGATAACCTTATATAATCAGTTAAAATCCAAGGCAAAAAATTTAGCACATACTAGTAATTTTTTTTTTTTTTTTTTTAGATAGAACCTCATATTTGCAAGTTGTGGGTGTCAATGTAGTCTGGCCTTTTAGAGATCAGCAAATAAAGGACTATAGTAAGTGGTTCTAGAAATCATGATCCTATGTCTGCAGGACTAATGAAATAAACAGCTGTCTAGATATTGGGCAAATAAATACTTGTGGCTTGCAGACAGTTTTTATGGCCAGAATTATACATGGTTTCAGAAAAATTCTATATTTCAAAAATCTTGGTACAGAGGTGAACGTGATGTAGGTTAGATGAAATTTATTGAAGATCATAGAAAAAAACTTGATCTTTATGGATGATGTCTCTCTCAATCTGTCATAAATCACGTGTATATTTAAAATGCATCTTCTTTGGATTATTTATTTTGCGAAAATAAAGACCAATTCTAGCTATTATATTGTCACCTGCCACCATATTTCTAGAAAAAGCATTAAGACACTTTTGGTCGTTTTGTACCAGATGAAACTCTTACTTTTTTAAAAAGTATACCCTAATGGTATTATAGAAATTAAGGCTTTCTAGTATCAGATACTCACCCATTTACAAATTTAACAGTAAACATACAGAGTGGTATATAATTAGAATATATTTTATTATTACAGTTTTTACCCACCTCTTGATGAACCATCTATTAGAAGTAAAAATATTGATCTGTCAGGACAACAGGAAAGAAAACAAATATTCAAAGGGAAAACGTTTGTATTTTTGAATGCCAAACAGGTAATTGTTACAAGCTAAATTTTCCTAAAGAAAACATTACAAACTAAGATATGTTATTACTCATATCAATAGTTGTTAATGTATTTCATTTGGGGATTTTGTATAAAAGTGTGAAGTAGAATAAAAAACTGCTCAAGCACCAGAATCTGCCTGCTGATGATGTATGTGATTATAATATTTCTTAATATCTGTTAGTTGGCCTATTAAGTTTATATAGATATGTAAGGGGGGAGACAGAAAACTTTAAGTTTGAAATTGTTCACTTTGTAAACTTCTATTGAATGTGTTCTGTGTGCTGAAATGGGGGTTCCAAGAATCTATGTTGTAGTGGGGAAATTGTGCAGGTAAGGCCACAGTTAGGTACCGTGTGGTTAGTGTGATGAGGAACTGTAGACAGCATAACAATTCCAGGGCTGCACAGATACCTGCCAAACTAGGGATTTTCTCAAAGTGCAAGTTCAAATTGCCCACTTAAGAAGTAGAACCAATTCTAATTTGATTGTTTCTATTTTAATTCCAAAGTTAAAGTCTCTTACATAATAATAATCTTCTTAAGAAATTACTACATTTTAAAAATGTTTCTTTCCATTTTTAGTATAAGAAGTTAAGTTCAGCAGTTGTTTTTGGAGGTGGAGAAGCTAGGTTGATAACAGAAGAAAATGAAGAAGAAGATAGTTTCTTTTCAACTCCTGGAACTTGTGTTGTTGAAATAGGAACAACAAACTCACAGACCTTAATTCCTGATTCTCAGAAAAAATGGATTCAATCAATAATGGATATGCTCCAAAGGTACAGAATAATTTTTTATTAGTAAAATAATTGCAAGTGCGAGATTTAATATTTAACTTTTTCTATTACACTTAACAATGTAAAAGTAGATGTTATTATCAAAGTTTATTATGTGGTATATTTGAAAATCAACTATGACTTGGTATGCTAGAAATAGAATATCTTTGGGGTTGGGCACAGTGGCTCATGACTGTAATCATAGCACTGGGAAGCTGAGGTGGGAGGATTGCTTGAGGTCAGGAGTTCGAGGCCAGCCTGGGCAACATAATGAGACCCCCTTTCTACAAAAAAATTTTAAAATTAGCTGTGTATGATGACGTGTACACCTGTTGGGAGGTGGGAGGCTGAGGCAAGAGGATCGCTTGAGCCCAGGACTTGGAGGTTACAGTGAGCTTTGATCACACTACTGCATTCCAACCTGGGTAACAGAAGAGCAAGACCCTGTCTCTAAGAAAAAGTTAAAATTTAAACTTAAAAAAAGAAATAGGATATTTTGTATCTGTGCCAATTTTATTTAAGTATTTATGCATTTTTTTGTTACTGTAATAGAATTTGTAGAATTTGCCTCTCTAAATTAATATAATAGTATTTTTTCTGTAGATTATGTTGCAGCTAAGAGGGTTAAAACTCAAAAATAAAGTTTTTTCTGCAATTGCCCAGGAGTGAAATGTATTTGCCGTTTGACAATTATTATCCATTAAAAATGCATATAAAACTATCTGTTCCTCTTATATAGGATATTAGGGGAAAGCAGGAAAAAAAATCAGGTATCTTAGAATGGTGTTTGTATTGGGGAGGGAGACTGTAGAAGAGCTAAGTCAAGGATTTTTTCCTTAGACCTTTATTGGCATTAATAATCTTAGCATTGGTGAAGCCAAAAAATACTGTACAAGTATCGAGCTTGGCCATCTTTTGATCAAATTTCAGTTTACTTAGCAAAAAGTAGGTGGGATCTAAAGTGTTAATATGCCTGAAAAGTCCATAGCCAGCCTGCTACAAAAGATTCATTTTCTTCTGTCTCACTAGTCCTTCTGACCATGGAGATTGGTTTGGTTTGTTTTTTTTTTAATCTCTTCTTATGGGCTTGCTGAAATAAAAAGTAAAATTTCAGCCATCTGTCCTATAAATATTCTACTTAATGGAGATGTTTTAACTGCTATAGAAAATCCTTATGCTTCTGATACCTCTTTTTTTTCTTTCTTGCTGTCTATTTTGTACCAACTGTGTCCTCCAGAGCAAAGTTGAATAGAAGTGGGGGTAGTGGCCACACTCATCTTACTATTGACTTTAAAAGAAATACTTCCAATGTTTCCCCAATTAGGGTGGTATAATTTCTGTATAGCATTATTATAAATATGTATTAACAATGTTTTTTTTTTTTTTTTGAGACAGAGTCTCGCTTTGTTGCCCAGGCTAGAGTGAGTGCCGTGGCGTCAGCCTAGCTCACAGCAACCTCAAACTCCTGGGCTCGAGTGATCCTTCTGCCTCAGCCTCCCGGGTAGCTGGGACTACAGGCATGCGCCACCATGCCCGGCTAATTTTTTATATATATATCAGTTGGCCAATTAATTTCTTTCTATTTATAGTAGAGACGGGGTCTCGCTCTTGCTCAGGCTGGTTTTGAACTCCTGACCTTGAGCAATCCGCCCGCATCGGCCTCCCAAGAGCTAGGATTACAGGCGTGAGCCACAGCGCCCGGCCTAACAATGTTTTTATTTTATGTAGCCAGTCATTATAACTGATTCGCATAGTATAATTTACAGTTTCAAAAAAGTTAGTAGGGTAATAAAATATCGATTTTGAATTGCTTGGATTATAGATAGGTATATGTGATCACTTGATGATAATGCTTTTTAAAATCTGATATTTTTAAGTCCAATATTTTTGTAATTGCACATGTAGTTGAATCCTATTTAAGTAAACTCAGTACACAGGAAAAACAAGTCAAGCATTTGAAAAAGACTTTTTAAACTAATATAACCACTTAAAATATCTTTATGAGTATTAAAAGGTATTTTATAGCTCTTTGTTAAAATTTGAGTGTAATTTCTATATAGCATTATTATTAAATTATATTAAGTTATCTTTATTTTATAAAATCAAGTCATTCACATTACAGAACAACAAAAAAATAGGTTTGCCATAAGATTCTTTTAATATGGAGATACCTTAATACACGTAAATTTGGTATGATGATTTGATTTACTAAATGTAAAGTTTATAACATATAGATATAGCTTATGTATAGTTCTCTGTACTTCTTTCTTCCCCTTTCTCCTCTTTTTATTTTTCTCTCTTTAAAGTTTTATCTTAGGGTCATAATAACCATAGATTTGTTTATAAAAGCCTGTTTTTTCTTTTTGTGTTTTTTTGAGACAGTGTCTCACTCTGTCACTCAGACTAAACATAGCTCACTGCCACCTCTAACTCCTGAGCTCAGGTGATCCTCCTGCCTCAAGCTCCTGAGTAGGTGGGATTACAGGCATGACTCACCTCGCCCAGCTAAATTTATTTTTTTGTAGTGATGGGGTCTTGCTCTTGCTCAGGCTGGCCTTGAACTCCTGACCTCAAGTGATCTTCCTTCCTTGGCCCTTCAAAGTGCTGGGATTACAAACATGAGCTACCACACCCAGCCAAAAGCCTGTTTTGTTGTATCTGAGTATTACTGTTTTCTTCTTATTCTGAAAATCATTGAATTTTAGTACTGGAAAGATCCATATTCTCTACTCTAGCCCTTACTTTATAGATAAAGTTAGCTGAGTTACTAAAAGGTGGTGGATTTGCCCAGTGTAACGGTGCCCCAGTGAGTAAGCCAGCACTCTGTGTATTTGGAATTCTGTCCACACCATAAAACTGTGATATCTCTTTGGGTGAGGGAAAAAGGTTGATTTAGCTTGATGTCCTCTTGATAAAAGTTGCTAGTTTTAATATGCTGTCATGCTTAAACTGTTTTTTTCTAATAGGCAGGGTCTTAGACCTATTCCTGAAGCAGAAATTGGATTGGCAGTTATTTTCATGACTACAGAGAATTACTGTGATCCTCAGGGCCAGCCCAGTTCAGGTAATTAAAGCATTGTTTTATTGATTCTTTAGCGATGTTAATTATTAAATAAATTGATGATAAGCTGTATGTACATTACTCTTATACTTGATAGAGGTGACCATATTTACCACCTTTTAAAACTCATCTATTTACGCTTTCATTTATTCATTCAATAAATATTTGTGGCTGCCATGCACTGTTGTAGGTGTTGAAGAGACATTGGTGAATAAAGTAAACAAGATCCCTATTATTATGAACTTTATGTTCTAAAGACCATGATTTAGTAAATAGTCAAGCAAACGGACATGATAAGTTCAGATAGGGCCAAGTATAAAGACAAAGCAAGATGATGTAATAGTGGCTGAGACTGGGCTATTTTAGATAGGTCACCAGGGAAGGTCTCACTGAGGATGTGACAATTGAGCCTCACTCATGCATCCTGAATGATGAGAAAAGGCAGCCATGTGAGGATCTGGGTGGCATAGAATTCCAGGAACAGATCACTCTAGTGTTTGTGGGGAGAGTGGATTCTAAGAATCCACAATAGAAGTGGGAATAGGGGAGTAGAAAGCTATTTTGGAGGTCCAGATGAGAAAGAGCATGGTGCTTTGGACCAGTGTGGTAGTAGTGAGGATGCAGAAAAATGAACAGATTCAAGATATATTTTAGAACTTGACCCACCAGACTTGCCAGTGAAGGAATGAGAAACAACTCCTAGTTTTCTGGCATAAGTAACTGGGTGTATGGTGGTGCCAGTTAGTGAGATGAAGAATGTGTATTATGATCATTTCAGTATTGATGGTCACAAAAAGCCAGTGTATTCAGAGTATTCAGAGACAGTCACTATTACTGCTTTATTATTTAAAACACATTTTAGTATTTTTTAAAAAAAATATGCTAATACTGCCATTGCAAAGATGGTTTCTTTTTTTTCTTCTTGCTTGTTTATCTTAAGAGATTTTTACATTTATTCTCCCAGATAACTTTTCTTTGCCTACCTATCAGAGCATCCATTCTGTATTAGTGTATACAGTTATTTGCTTCCTGGGTTCTTTCTATAACTATTTCATTGGCAGTTACTAGATTTTGTTTGGCTAAAAGAGACAAGTTAGAGCACAGCACGACCTCATTGTACATTCCAAGGGGAGTCATTCACATTATAGTCCATTGAATGGCACCTATGGAGGTGGGCAGTGTGTCTGCTGAGTGCTCTGCAACCTTGGTTTAAACAAGTAAAGAAGGTGCTAAGCTAGATTTTGGAAAGAGTAAGTCATTAGGGCCCAATGACCAGGAATTGATTAGGTATATAAATTATTAGTAATGATTGGTAGTAATAACTGCTATCACTCAATGTGCAGAAACTAGAGTAGTTTACATACATCACCAAACTTTAATCTGCGAAACAATCCTTTTAAGATAGAAGACATTATCTACATTTTACAGATGAGAGAACAGACAAGAAATTAGCCAGAGGTCACATAACAAGGGATTGATTCAAACTGACTCTACAGTCAAAGCTATTGTGACATTCCTATAGTGCAGTACAGATGGCTTATATTTTGATGTGTGAATTTTTGAGAAATGACAATGTTGGGATGACTAGGAACAGATGCAAAAGCATAGACATTTGATAAGAAAATTTTCAACAGGCTAGTGTTTTATTATGTGGATAAGGATGTTTATTCACCTAATATCTCTATCCTCTCCCTGAGTACACCAAGTATGTTTGTGTCTATACATAGATAACGTTCAAATACATATAATTTTAAGTGTGAAATTTCAGATATGACCAAATAACTTACTTTGGTGGAATTGTGATATGCTTAACATTTCTTCACAATTCCCAGAATTAATCCTTAAAGTGACAATGTAAAGACCAACTCCTCAGAGTCTTAGTGTGAGAACTGTTTTAATGGGGACACCCAAAGAGAGCCATATCCTTGGAGAAGCTACTCCTTCCCTGTCAGAAATCTGCCCAGCGTTTAGAAATGACAGGTGCTATAGATATTTTGTTGACAGTGGATTTCTGTTCTGTAACAGAAAAAAAAAAGCCAGTATCAATAATTTTAGACTTTAACAACAGCAAATATAAAAAATGAGTCATTGTATAATAAGTCAGTAGCTCCCCTTGTCCCAGCACCCATTTGGGGCAATTGTCCTTTGTTTGTTTGTTTAGAAAACTAATTCTCAACTAGATATATGCTTCAGAAACTATTTTTAATGAAAGTTCACATTCTTTGTAATTCAGAATATTCTGGGATGCAGCCTATGCATCTGGATTTTTTGGTTTGTTTTGTCCAATTTTTTTTTTTTTTTTTTTGAGACAGAGTCTCACTTTCTTGCCCAGGCTAGAGTGAGTGCCGTGGCGTCAGCCTAGCTCACAGCAACCTCAAACTCTTGGGCTCAAGCGATCCTCCTGCCTCAGCCTCCCGAGTAGCTGGGACTACAGGCACAAGCCACCATGCCCGGCTGATTTTTATATTATATATATTAGTTGGCCAATTAATTTCTTTCTGTTTTTATGGTAGAGACGGAGGTCTCGCTCAGGCTGGTTTTGAACTCCTGACCTTGAGCAATCTGCCCGCCTCGGCCTCCCAGAGTGCTGGGATTACAGGCGTGAGCCACCGCGCCCGGCCTGTTTTGTCCAATTTTAAGCTCTTGTTTCTCATACAAACCCCAAGAACCACCGAGTTAGAGTATCTTGGGAAGGACTGAACGTAAGTGGAGTCTTCTCTTATATAAATGGAGAAGGCACTCAGACTACAAACTTTGGTCATTGTTTATTCTTCCTTTTCCATTTTATCACCAGGACCTGAAATTCTCCCTCTGCAGCTTCTGCTCAAGAGATGCTACCATCCCTCCTCACAGCTGCTGCCCAATTTGAACCCTCAACATTTTCTCTTTGAGGGCTGTCGTAATTGCCCCAGTGATGGTCGTTACTGAAAACTCATCTCTACCATTAACATTTCACTATGCCACTAGAATGACCTTGTCTTTTCTCAGAAACTTTTACTAGTTTTCTTATCTATGGAAAAAAATGCCCAAACCCTCTGTTTTGACTTCTGAGCCCTCAGTAGTTTAGCTGCAGCCTGCCTCCTCCCACACTTTGCTTTCTTTTATATGACTCTCTACAAAATACATGTGCCATATTTTTCATAGTTCCCACATTCATCACCTTGATCCTGTTCCTTGAATACCAGTACTGCTCGTCAGACTCCGGCTCATTCCACAAATGCTTACCTCCTTCATGAAGCTCTCCTAAGTTTTCTCTCCCATCTGTTCTTTAAGTCAGAATTAATTATTCTGTTTACTCCAGTAACTTTTTTTTTTTTTTTTTTTCATTTCAGCGGTTGAGTTTCTTTCTACGTTTAAATATAACCAATCGTTCCCATGCCTCTTTTGGCCACACTAGATTGATTATATGTTCTTACTAATTTTGGATTCTCTGACGACAGCAAGCATAGTACTTGTTTGTAGTATAAATATTTGTTTAACTGAGTTAAGCTATTCATACAAAAGATTATCTTTTCTGGTACGGAGCAACAAAGTTTCGCTCTTATACTTTTGGAATTTTGTCTTATACTATTAGAATTGTATTTATGGCTGAAAGGGCCTTAGAAAGCATTTGATCTTTCTGTTAAAAGATGAGAGATGTTGGTTGGGCTCTGTGACTCATACCTGTAATCCTAGCAGTGTGGGGGGCCCAGGTGGGAAGATCGCTTGAGGCCAGGAGTTTGAGACCAGGCTGGGTGACAGTGAGACTCTGTTACTACAAAAAATGTAAAAATTAGCTAGGTGTGGTAGTATGTACCTGTAGCCCTAGCTATGTGGGGAGCTGAGAGAAGAGGATCACTTGAAGCCCAGTAGTTCAAGGCTTCAGTGAGCTATGATGATGCCTCTGCACATTCCAGCCCTGGCAACAGAGATCGGATAAGTTCAGGTTCCATAACTACTTCATGGCCAAGCCAGTCCTAAAATGTGTTTTTCTGACTACCAGACTGATAATTTTTTTAAAGTGTATTATTTCATATAGAAACAAGCTTATGAGAGTGAATAAAAATGTACACTATAATTAGTAGTATTACTTTTTGCACATATTTGTAGGTAAGTTTATGTGGGTTCCATGTCATGGACCTCTGACTTACAAATAATTTTTATAACACAGCCAGTTTTGGGGGAACAGAATGAATGCATGTCTCCTTTCTTTTCATATTTATTCATTTATTCAACAAATATTTATTGAACGTTTATTATATACATGTAATTATGCTACACACTTGGAATAAAGAAGAATCAGACCAGATTTCTGCCCTCATGGTATTTTTAGCAGGAAGGGCATTGTAAATGTAAATTATTGACAAACATCAGTTGTTCTGGGTCATTAGATTAGATTTATAAGTGCTTCTTTTAGTAATAAACATTTGTCATTTTTATTCTTTTTAAACTGTGTAAGCTAAAGTGAATTCCAGATATATGTGTGTGTGTGTATGTATGTGTGTAAGTGAAATTCCAAATATATATGTGTCTTTTTTTAAAATTTTTTATTTATTGAGACAGGGTCTTGGTCTGTTGCCCAGGCTATAGAGTGCAGGGGCATCATCCTAGCCCACTGAGACCTCAAACTCCTGAGCTCAAGACATCCTCCTGCCTCAGCCTCCCGAGTAGCTAGGACTACAGACATAGCACCACCACGCCTGGCTAGTTCTTCTATTTTTTTGTAGAGACAGGATCTCACTATGTTGCTCAGGCTAGTCTCTTGACCTCCTGACCTCAAGCAATCCTTCCACCTGGTCCTCCCAGAGTGCTAGGATTATAAGCATGAGCCACCACACCCAGCTTGAGGTGTATATCTTCAAGGAAATGCCAATGAGCTTCTAAGGAGTTTATATAGGGAAAGTTGGAGAAGTCATTTAAATATCTGAATTTAGAATCACAAATAAACATTTATTAAACATATCCTACATTATGAGGACCTAACAGAGTGATAAGTTACCTTAGATATTTAGTAAACATCAACTTTTACCATTTTTCAGTTAACAATTTAATCCATAAATGTATATATATTTACTGTATACCAAATGTTGATCTGGGCACTGGAAATAAAGAAATCAGCATGATGTAGTCCCTGTTCTCAAGGAGGTTCCCGTCTAATAAGGGAAAGTAACAAGTAAACAAGTAAATTGATGATAATGCTAACAGCTAATGCTGGCGTAGTGCTTGCTGTGTTCTAAACATTTGTCTAATTGCTATTATATATAAATTCATTTTGCTCTCAAAACAGCTTTATTAGCAGGTTATTCTAATTTTATTTTATGGATGAGAAAACTAAAACATGAAGAAGTTAAATAACTTATGTCACACAGCTGGCTGTAAGTGAATTATTAATAGAGTGATGTGCGTGGTGGTATGGGACCAGAAATGAGGAGCACTTAATTCAGTGGAAGAGGTTCCAAAAAGTATTCCAGAGAGTGTGCTTAAACTAAGTTGCTATTCTAGTAAATAAAATGATGAGGTAATCATGGTTTTCTGGAGTAGCCAAAAAATTTATGTCTAAAATGGCTTTACATGTCTTCATTTCAAATAATGTATTCCTTGTAAAAATGGAACTCACATTGATTTTGATTTTCTGTAGATGGTTGGGTAGATACACATTCTGTGGAGAATAAATGTAAGTTTTTGGTCTACTGACTTAAAACATAATTTGAATCAGAATTTGAGTTAATTTTATTTAAGTTGATAATACTTCATGATAAAGGATTTGATGTAGCTTTAAAATGATTTGGGTTAGATAAGGCCGTCACAGATGTCAACAGGCTGCTTGTAGACTGTTTTGCTATGTGTTTGTCGGCTCCACTGACTGGAGACAACTGTGTGCTATATTACCCAGTTAATCCCTTCAGCATGGCATAGTCTAACAGTCTGAAATGACCAAAGGTCCATCTTGTGTCTAGCAGTTGTGATTCTTTCTCTTTATTTTTGTGATTTACAGGATTAAAGACAACTACTCCAGGACCAAGCCTTTCACAAGGCTTGTCAGTCAATGAAAAACTAACTCGAAGTATCCCAGTGAATACTACAACATACGTAGCTGACACAGAATCAGAGCAAGCAGACACGTGGTAAAGCTTCTTTGTTAACAAACTATTGTTATTATTCTACCAATAAATTGATAGTATATTCAAGAAGTAAAGTCAATGCCTTTATCCAGTTGTCTCTTGGGAGATAGAGCATGGGAGAGTGGGATGGCAGGGAAAATGATGTTTTAGGACAGGGTCAGCAAATTTTCTATAAACGATCTGAGAATAAATATTGGCTTTGTGAGCTGTTGGTGTGTCTGTCCCAGCTACTGAGGTCTGCCATTATGTCATAAAAGCAGCTATAGACAACATAAGCAGTCAGTATCACTTAACAACAGGGATGCTTTCTGAGAAATGCCTCCTTAGGTGCTTTTGTTGTTTGTTTTGTGACCATCACAGAGTATACTTACACAAACCTAGTATAGCTTAGTACATACTTAGGCTATATGGAATGGCCTATTGTTCCTGAGCCACTAACCTGTACAGCATATTGCTGTACTGAATACTTATGCAATTATAAGACAGTAGTAAGTATTTGTGTATCTAAACATGTCTAAACATAGAAAAGGTATAGTAAAATTATGGTATAAAACAGGGGTCCTCAAACTTTTAAAACATGGGGCTAGTTCACTGTCCCTCAGACCGTTGGAGGGCCAGACTGTAGTTTAAAAAAAAACTATGAACAAATTCCTATACACACTGCACATATCTTATTTTGAAGTAAAAAAGCAAATGGGCAAAAACACCCACATGTGGCCCGCGGGCCGTAGTTTGAGGACACCTGGTATAAAAGATAAAAAATGGTATACCTGTATAGGGCACTTACCTTGAATGGAGCATGCAAGGCTAGAAGTTGCTCTAGGTGAGTTCAGTGAGTGAGTATTGAGTGAATATGAAGCCCTAGGACATTACTGTACACAACTGTAGATTTTATAAACACTGTACACTTACGCTACACTAAATTTATAAAAATACAATTTTTCTTTGATAATAAATTAATCTTGGTCTACTGTGATTTTTTTACTTTATAAACTTAATTTTTTCAGCTTTTTGACTATTTTGTAATAATACTTAGCTTAAAACAAAATCACATTGTATAGCTGTGCAAAAATATTTTCTCTCTTTATAACTTTATTCTATACACTTTTTTCCTATCCTTTTTTTAATTTTTAAACTCTTTTGTTAAAAAGTAAAACACAAATTACACACATTAGCCTAGGCTTATACAGGGTCAGAATCATCAATATTACTGTTTTCCACCTCTACATATTGTCCCAGAGGAAGATCTTCAGGGGCAATAACACATGGCATTGTCATCTTCTATGATAATAACAATGCCTTCTTTTGGAATATCTCTGAAGGACCTGTTAACTTTTTTTTAATAAGTAAAAGGAATATGCTCTGATGATAAAAAATACAATATGGTAAATGCATAAACCAATAACATAGCCATTTATTATCAAGTATTACATACTATACATAATTGCATGTGCTATTCTTTCATATGACTGGCAGCATAGATTTTACACCAGTATCACCACAAACACATAATGGGTTGCACTATAATATCACTAAGCAATAGGACTATTTCATTATTATATATGGATCAACCCAACTTATATGTGGTCTGTGTTGACTGAAATGTCATCGTGCAGAACATGACTATAATTGAATGAATGTGGTTGTGTTCCAATAAAACTTTATTTACAAAAACAAATGGCAGGCCATATTTGGCTTACAGGCTATAGTTGGCCAACTCCTATCTTAAGATAGTTTTCATTCCTTGCAAATGTACATGGAATACTAAAAAGAATTATACAACTTCATTTGTGACTGGCAATGGGGATATAAGTTTAAAATAAATATATTTGTACTGTATGATGTTGACTATATTTGAATATTATGTATAATTTTGGAGATACTTTATATGTATCTATCCTGCTATCTAAATAGTTAATATTTGTCCATAAAGATAGTTTTTCAGAGGTTCTCTATTAGAAGAGGGGTTTGGGGCTTTCTGTTTCGTTTTTTGAATGGAAAAGGGTAACTCTTGTATTCTGTGGTATTTTTCACTTACATATTTTTATTTTAAATATTCCATAATAAAGTATTTAAAATATCACTATATTAAACTATATTTATTTTTATTTTTGCTGCACCTGTGTTTTATATTGAGGCCAGATTTAACTTTTTTAAGTGAGACTGTTAATGTTTTGGAAGATGCTTGAATGACAACTAAAATAGCAAAGGCAGTGTCTAATATAACCATACTTTGTAAAACTCTGTGTATGTGTGTTTAAAATATTTTTCTGGTAGTCTAGAGTTCTATTCTAGAGACTGCCATCTGGCTGCAATATAACCATATCAATTCATCCAAAGTGATCTAAATACCCCATTATATGTGGTACTAGAATGATAGGAGATTATTCTGATTTTCCATTTTTTTATTTTAGCATTTTTACATGGAATAATTTTAAAATTTTAAACAAAAATTACCTGGGATTATCACCTAGTTTAATTTATAATAGGACACTAGGTTGATTGATATTCTCCATGTGTTTGGCAGTTGTAGCCTGACAATATGTGCTATAGCGGATGAATTAGAGTAATATATCATTCTTCGTCAGGATGCTTAGATCAATGATCCCCAACCTTTTTGGCACCAGGGACCATTTTCATGGAAGACAATTTTTCCATGGTCCAAGATGGAGAGGATGGTTTCAGGATGATTCAAACATTACATTTATTGTGCAGTCAGACCTTTCTGCTAATGATAATCTGTATTTGCAGCTGGTCCCCAGCATCTGCATCACTGCCCAGCTCCACCTCAGATCATCAAGCATTAGAGTCTCATAAGGAGCATGCAGCCTAGATCCCTCGCATGTGCAGTTTAGAATAGGGTTCACGCTCCTATGACAGTCTAATGCGCCACTGATCTGACAGGAGGAGGAGCTTATGTGGTGATGCAAGCAATGGGGAGCAGCTATAAATACGGATGAAACTTCTCTCCCTGCTGCTCACCTCCTGCTGTGCGGCCCAGTTCCTAACAGGCCTTGGACCAGTACTGGTCCACAGCCCAAGGGTTGGGAACCACAGGCTTAGATGACAAAGAAGCTACTTTCTTGGGATGGTAAAATACATTCACTGACTTATTATCTAAAGATAATTATCTTCTAAAGTTATATTTCATTAAAACAATTTAAAGATCCTTATCTCTGGTTAAAAGTTACTGTAAACTTGTTTACCTTGCATTCTTTTCTTTTGCTACAGTATGGATTTGAGTGAAAAGCCAAAAGAAATCAAAAGCTCCAGGATACAACAAAACCTCAGAATGCTTTCACAGGAAACATCCACTATAAAGTTTCCTCCCAAAACAAGCTCTAATAATAATATCATAACATCAAATACTCAGATTAAGGTGAACATCCCAAACTATCAGCTTTCACCAACTAAATTCTCGAGTATCAATAAAAGTAGAGTTCGAGCTTCCCAGCAGCAGCAGACCAACTCCATCAAAAACTACTTTCAGCCAGCTACCAAAAAAAGGTATGTTTTTATTTAATCATCTCTCTTGTGTCTCTGAAAAAATACTAATTTCTTTATACTCTTGTAGATTGATATTTAGTCTGTTCTGCTTCTATGGAAAGCTATGGCCCTTTGACCTCATTTCTTCTCAGAAATGTCCTAATCTCCTTTTTCACTAAGACCGTAAGACAGATTCTCCCTCTTTCTTCTTCTATACCTTAGCTTATCTGTTGTTTTATTTGCTAGACTTCTCTTGAAGAAGAACTTATTCATATCTGAGTTCCAAAATCACCTTTCTGCCCATTTCTCTTGATCACCTCTTTTAATCCCTCTTAGACCATACTCCATCAGTTATTTTTCTCAGTTTCTAATAACTTTAATATGTTCATCATCCTAGATTTTTTATTTCTAAAACTCAGTCTCATGGTTTTTTTTGTTGTTGTTTTTGTTTTTGTTCGGTTTTTTTTGTGGAAGACAGGATCTTGTTCTGTTGCCTGGGATGAGGGCAGTGGCATCATTAGCTCACTATAGCCTCCATGCCCAGTTAATTTTTCTTTTTTGTGGCGATGTGATCTCATTATCTTGCTCAGGCTGGTCTCATACTCCTGACCTCAAGCAATCCGCCAGACTCAGCCTCCCAAAGTGCTAGGATTACAGAAATGAGCCACCCCACCTGTCATCACCTTTATTTTTGAAAACATTCCCTTAACTTGGTTTCTTCCTTGAGCTACTACTCCCTTTTGTATTTTACAGTCACTATTAATTAAACTTTCAAAAAAGATGATTGTTCTTTTTCCCATTTCCGTATGAACTATTGCTTAACTAGCAGTATTTCATCTTGAAATAACATCCTTGAAATTAACTGTTGACACAATTGCCAGTTCTGGTGGCCTTTTGGTAACATTCAGCTGTCCTTGTGGTCTCCTCTCAGTGTCTGTGAGAGTGCCCTATCCTGGCTGTGTTGCCTCTCTGACTTTGCCCCATGAGGACTTCTTTTCCTCCTACTACTGATCTTTATACTCTGTATGCTCCACTTTCAGGTCTTGTTACTTTATTACAAATGATTAATAATATATTTGGCACCAACTTTACCTTTAAGCTTCGCTTCTGCTTTTCTACAGGAATTTCTTGCTGTTATTCCAAATAATAGAAATACTAACCTTTTCTGGCCTCTCACTGAATGTGTTTAGTAATTTACTGTGTTATAAACTTTGACTCTTTTTCTCCTCTGCCTTCCCAAATCAATACTGTTGATTCTTGTTTTCAGTGTCTTTTCAATCCTTCCCTTTCCAAGTATTGCCAGCTCTGTGGTTGAATCTCTAACCAAACCATCTAAATTATTACCAAGACTGGTCAGTTTGTTTTTCCAGTACCCTGACATTAAATTAGTGTGAATAAAATATCACCTTGAGTGTTCCAATTCAGCATGAATCCAGTAAATTCCTGGAGACCAGAAATCCAAGTGTTTATATCCTCTTCAAGCCTCGGTACAATTTGCATAAAGTGTTCAGTACTTATTGAGTGAATGATAAAATATTTTATAGAAAACTTTTAGTGATATATTCACATAGTGTTTACAGTATACCGTCAATACCAAGTTTTAGACTTAGCCACTCTGACTTAGTATCTTGAAATCATGTCTCATTAGCCCATCAGATTATATTCCCAAGATAATTTTTCCTTGCCCACAAGTTTCCTGCTTTGTAAGGCAAGCTGCTGTCTCTGGGCAACAGGTCCTTTGTATTTTTGCATTTTTCTACCTTTTCCTACAATTGCTTTATCACCTATTGCTACTTCTCCACAGAGATGGAGATCTCCGTATTGCTTTAACCACAGGCTCCATCAGTTCTGTGAAAACAGCAGAATGTATGTGAATTCTACACTGTTTTCAAATGTCTATTTGTTGATTCCAGTGATATTGTTAGATAATCCAGAGTACACTGTGAATTAAATGGTGGGAGTTGTGAATATTGCCAAACTAAAAGATTACTTAGTTGTGTTCATTGTCTGGTTTTGTTTTCTTCTCTTTTTTAAATCTCAGGGAAAGGGATGCAGAAAATCAAGAAACATCTTCATGCAAATCAGCAAGAACAGAAATGTCTTGTTCTCTTTTAGAACAAACACAACCTACTACACCCTCAGTATGGAAAAATAAGGAGCAGTATCTGTCTCAGAATGAATCTATGGACGAAAAATCAGATAACTTATTTACAGATATAGATTTAAATTCCAATGTGAAAAATTCTGCCAATACAGCTTTTTCTACAGAAAAGCTAAGATCAAATAAAAGAAAAGAAATTGATGATTTGGCTATAGAAGATGACGTATTGGAAGAGTTATTCAAAAACACAAAACCAGAGTTACAAATTGAAGTGCAAGTTCAAAAACAAGAAGAAGATGTCAATATTAGAAAAAGGCCAAGGATGGATATAGAAACAAGTGACATTTTTAATGATGAAGTGATACCAGAAAGTAACAAAATATCTGTAAGTAACATTTTAATAAGAAGTATTACAAATAAAAACTTAAAATGTTAAAAAGTACTTTAGATTTTGTATTTATAAGCATCCATTAATGTCTTCAACAACAGCATTGAGCATGACATTTGTTGATCAATAAAGTAAGTGTTAAAAATACAGTGATTCTGGCCCGGCGCTGTGGCTCACGCCTGTAATCCTAGCACTCTGGGAGGCCGAGGCGGGCGGATTGCTCAAGGTCAGGAGTTCAAAACCAGCCTGAGCGAGACCCCGTCTCTACCATAAAAATAGAAAGAAATTAAGTGGCCAACTAATATATATATAAAATCAGCCGGGCATGGTGGCTTGTGCCTGTAGTCCCAGCTATTCGGGAGGCTGAGGCAGGAGGATAGCTTGAGCCCAGGAGTTTGAGGTTGCTGTGAGCTAGGCTGACGCCACGGCACTCACTCTAGCCTAGGCAAGAAAGCGAGACTCTGTCTCAAAAAAAAATAAAAATAAAAATAAATAAAAAAAAAAAAACAGTGATTCTTCAACAGTATAAAACAAATGACAATGAATAAAACTATTACACATGATTGTTTTAGTAGATATCAAGATTAGTCTGTACTATGATAAAAGACATTTGGCCATGATATATGAGATGCTTTCATAGAAGAGGCACAGAAAGATAAAGGAAGTTAGTAAAACAAAGTATTTACTGAATAAACTTTTAGCGTAAAACATATGTATAACCACTAGGAATTTATATTTTCATTTAGGTCTTTAATGTCCTATCCTATTTTCATAAATGTTGATAATTTGTCTTACTCACTTTGGTCTGTGAAAACTCTTAAAATTTTCTCTTTTGTGTATCAGAAAGGTGACCTATCTGTAGACTGATTAGCTCATTACATGAGAGCACAGACCTGATGTAATGAAAATTTATATTCTGATCTCCCACATGGATCTGTGATTAGGTCCACTGTTCCTGGCTGTGATCATCCCCTTCTGTATCATCTGTGGCATAAGGACAGGAATAAGTGAAAGGATTAAGTGATTAGAAGTTGTAGTCAATTTGCTAAGCATTGAGAACCTAGTCTGTATCAAGGACTATGCAAATCTATAACTCCTGTTGGAAAAACAGTGTATATGTCTGTTTGGCCTATATATTGGCATGTTCATACAGAGAAGGGAATCCTCATCATTTCTTACTTCTTATGAGTGAATCCTAAATGCCCTCCTGTGGATCAGCTGCATCAGAGTCAGCTGGTGAGCTTTTTAAAAATCTGATTTCCCAGGCCAAAGCTCCAGATATCCTGATTGAATACATCTGATTTTCTTCACAAAGTTCCCTCATTAATGTTAGTTAAGAATTCCTTTGTTGGTTTTAAAAATTCTAAAATCAGTGGCTTGAATAAGATAAGAGTTTTGGAGTTTTTTTGCTTATAAAAGAAAAATCAAAGCTACTTTCCATGGTATTAATCTCCTTGGTGTCTGTCTTTCTGCTCTATAAGATGGTACCTATGGCCATCAAGTCTGCTTTCCAGAGAAGAACATGGTGGGGAGGGCACAGGGTAAAGGCCTTTCCAGGCTGAATTCCTCCCTACTTTCTAAGGGACTTTCTAAGAAACTCGACTTTATAAGATATTTACTATTGACTATTGATAAATAAAAACATTAATTCTCTGTATTTCCTAAATGAGCACAAAGTACATTTGTTTTTCTGCCCTTTCTTTATACCTTCCTTTTTTAAAATTTTTATGAATTTTTATTGCTATATCATTGAATATTTGATGTAAAACGATACGCCCCATATTGTATCCAAGGAGATTATAGTTTTTAATGAAAGTATTAGAAAGCCATTTATGTAACAGTTTTGTCTAAGACGTGATCTGGGTATGTTAATGTGAAAGATACTATGACTATAAACAAGGCAGTCTCCACTTTTATTGCAGACAAATATTTTGAACACTTAAGGATGATTTAAAATTCCATTCTAAACACAATTTAGATAGAATTTTTTATAAATTTTTTTTATTATAAAAGTAACACATCTTATAGAAATGTGGAAAAAGTGAAGGAAATAGACTATTTGTTGATAATCCTACCATCTACAGACAACCATAAGTTAAATTTTGCTATTGTTAAAAAAAATGTCATTTTGAAGACTTCAAATTAACTGTTAATGCAATTTTGTAGTCATTTTAAAATTTATACTAGGATCATTTTCCTATATATTCTCTATGTAATTTATATGAATTTGGATTATTTCCAATTCTTGCACTGCAGTATTTCTTTCTACATTTATTTTTATATTCATCTCATAATTTATTTAGAAAAGATACTTGAAATTAAAATGACTAGGTCAGAGCATGAATGTCTGTAAGGTTTTTATTAAAGTATCATCTTATATTTGATTTTTGCTGAAAGGCCAGGAATTGAAAGAAAGGTACCATTTTATAACTCCTATGAACAATATTTTTTATTTTATTTCTTTAGCAAGAAAATGAAATTGGAGAGAAATGTGAGAAGAAACGTGAGCTCAAGAAAGAATCACTATGGTCAATGAAAGAAGAAGTATCTGTGAGGAAATTACTTATTTAATTTTTGTAAGGATTTGACTTAGAAGGACAATCATCTCATCAGTTTTTGTCTTTGTACATCCTTAGGACGATTTCTCTTTACATAATTTTGTTTTATAAATAGATAAATGGATAGATCATATTATAACCATGATACAGTAAAGAGAGTGTAGAGAAAAGCCAGAGTATAACTCCCTGCCCTCCACTCCATAGATGTATGACCTTGAGCGAGTCATTTTCACATTTATGAACCTCAAGTACTTTATTTATATTCATAAAATGAGGTTGATGCTTTTCCAGCAGGGTGGTTGTTTATATTAAATAGAGAATTGAATGTGACATATTTGTAAACTCTTAAAGATTAATGGGCTGGGCATGTTGGCCTCAGGCCTGTGATCCCAGCTACTTGGGAGGCTAAGGCGGGAGGATCACTTGAGCCCAGGAGTTCGCGATGAGCCAGGGCAGCATATCCAGAGACTGTTTTTAAAAATAAATAAATAAAAGTTTTTATTATTATTTAATAGATGTCCTGATTACATTCCCTCACTATCAGATGAACCTTTTCTTTTGATTTTCCACTTTTTTATTCCTTCCTTTATCTTAGACCTGAAACTACCTTAGCAGTTTCCATATGAATTATACAGTTCAGCAGTTAAAAGAACTAAGATGGTCCATCTTAAACAGCTGTAACACTGCTGATCTGTAACTGACTAGATGGTTAATAGTAAATGACATAAACCAAAAAAAAAAAAAAAAATCTCATCCAACATTTGAATGATAATAGGAAGAATCTTAAGGCTGATTTAATGACTATTAATCTTGAACTTAACATGGCTTGTCAGTTAATTAGGTAGTGTGTTGAGAATTAATGACTGATTTTTTTTGAGGTATCAAAAATAATAAAAAATACAAACTATTGAGAATCCAAGGAAGCTTAAATATAGTAGAACAAAATATATAATACTCTCAGTGTACAATTTCAGTGAAAAGAAGCAGTGCTAAGATTTCATGTTAAAATATATATACCTGAAGGTAAATTGTTTATTGAGATGATATTTATTAGAATAGGCTCCTAAGAATAGGCCTTCTATCACAGATGAGTATGTTATAAATGTTTTCAAAGTTACAGAGCATTTGAGTGAGTAATTTTCTGGTTTTGAAATAGGTAAGAGTTGATTCCAAATAAAAGTTCAGGTACCAGAAATAAACCATTTTTACTATTTTTTCAGGTATTTGAACTTTTTTCTGTAGACCCCTAAGTGACAAGTAACTTTCCCTTTTACTTTTTATTTATACATTTTAACCCCATTTAAGAGCAATGACGATCTTCAGGACAATAGTGAGATGCTTCCAAGCAAAGTGTTATTAACTGAATTTAGATCACTGGTGGTGAAAAACTCCAGAAACCCGTCTATTGTAAATAATGATTATGGCCAACTAAAGAATTTCAAGAAATTCAAAAAGGTAGGTATTTTTTAATTGTATCACAAGAGGGCAGTGTTTGAAATACTTTTAGAAATACTGTTGATACTAAACAATAATAAAAAACAGTTTACATTGAAAACTGATGCTATTTCTTCTGCTTAAGACAGTTGAAAAAATTAATCTAGGAAGGATATGAATGGACAGTTCATGAATATATGGGACCCCTAGAATGAAACAGATTTCATCAAGACAGTTCTTTACAGGTTGTTGTTTATCTGGTTTTCTCCACCTTAAGCAGGTGGCTTTATCTATAATTATAGGGTCTTCTTGTCATTCTGATATTGATCCACAGGGACTTGAAGGGGTTCTTTAGCTCAGGACTTTATGAAGATAAAAATTTGTCAAAATAACAGCATATACAATAATGAAAACAAAATAAAAATACATACACTGAGTATTACCATGAGACCTGAGTTTCTCCTCATTAAGGAACTGATATTTATTTTATCAGTATGGTTAAAAGAATATTTATGATCCAGTCTGTATTCTTTTGTTGTCTGTTCAGAGATATTTGCTTCTTGTTCCAGACTTCTAACTCCTAGCATTGGCTTGTGTATTTGATCAGAGTGCAGTAATTATATCAAAAGTAATTTTTATGAAAAACCGCTTCTCTCTATAGCATGATCTATACAATTCCTGCTATGACTGGGAGGTGGTATAGTTTTTTCTCTCCAGTGTGAGCATTTACTATTAACATTTCCCAATTAAATTAGTTTTCTTCCTACTATGACAGTATCTAAAGGGTTCTGAACTCCATTTGATGAGAATTTCTCCTGCTTAGGGAGGAAGATGGAAATATCTCCTACTTGCATGGCAACATGATATACCTTTTTGTTTAACACCACTTTTTCCCATCCCAGAGCTGTGGCTTATGTATAGCACATGGGCATTCTTATTGCATGTTTACTTCATGTTTAAAATTATGTTACAAAATCTCATTGTTAAATCAAAATTCGAAGGATTTTTTTTATTGGTTAAGTTACCAAAGAAAAAGCTATAATGTTCAATTCACTATTGGCACAGAAGTGGTATAAAAATAGCTCTAAGGAAGTATAAATTAGTGTAAACTTCTGGAAAGTGGTTTAGAAAGATTTAAAACCCTTAAAAATACTGATATCCTTAACCAGGAAATTTGTTTTGAAACTATAGAAGAAATTCAAACTAAAATTTTTTTTTTTTTTTTTTTTTTTTGAGACAGAGTCTCACTTTGTTGCCCAGGCTAGAGTGAGTGCCGTGGCGTCAGCCTGGCTCACAGCAACCTCAATCTCCGGGGCTCAGCGATCCTACTGCCTCAGCCTCCCGAGTAGCTGGGACTACAGGCATGCGCCACCATGCCCGGCTAATTTTTTGTATATATATTTTTTAGTTGGTCAATTAATTTATTTCTATTTTTGGTAGAGACGGGGTCTCGCTCAGGCTGGTTTCGAACTCCTGACCTTGAGCAATCCGCCCGCCTCGGCCTCCCAAAGTGCTAGGATTACAGGCGTGAGCCACCGCGCCCAGCCCCAAACTAAAATTTGTATAGAAAGATGTTTGACTAGATTGCCTCTATTGGAGGAATTTATCTTGAGTTTTCGTTCAATCTCCAAATCCATGACATGGCTCTTTTTGTACTTTTAAAATGCTGCTTAATGATGAAAACTAATTTAAAATTTCCTTACCACTTCATGTATATTTTAAAAGCATGTTCCATAAATATTAAGGATTTATTACTTCCTAAATAGAATATTAGCAATGTGTTTGATAAGTATTTTTGCATAGAATTTTCTTTTTTTAAGCATCTCTTTATAAACAATTAAAATGTTAATTAAAAGTTTAAACTGTTCACATCTCCAACATATCCTGCTAGAGATCTGTAAACTGGGAAAATTTGAAAAGATTTAAATTTCCATCAATACTAGAAAGGGCTTAAAATTTGAGATCTTTAGAACAAAATATAATGCTCTAAATCATACTATATGTTCAACATGAGTTCCTTTAATTGTTAAATGATAAGTTAGGGTCATTTTTTAATAAAATCTTTAAATTTAAAATTCTCAATTCTTTTTAGTGTATAAATCGCAAAGATATGTCCAAATCTGGAATAGTAATAGCTAGAAAAGAAAAGGGCAAAAACAGATGGGTCTTGCTCAGAGTTAACCTCTCTCTCACCTTTGTGGGGTATAAGCATTTCCAGTACTTAGATTGTGCATGATTTACAATCTTTGCTTTTTAAGCTTTTTAAAAACTAGTCATCTTAATTTGTTAATATCTTTAACCTCACTACTTTTATTATTTAACAGATCACATTTCCTGGAGCAGGAAAACTTCCACACATCATTGGAGGATCAGATCTAATAGCTCATCATGCTCGAAAGAATACAGAATTAGAAGAATGGTTAAAGCAGGAAATGGAGGTTAGTAGACATGAGGCCCACAGACTTGTTTGAATTGCACTTTGGTCTCTTATGGTTTCCGTAGAACAAATCCTTCTTAAAACCAAACTTCAGATAAGTAACTTAAGATCATTCAGTAAAATTCCTGAGCTACAGAGCAGTAAGATTAATCTTTACTTTTGCTTAACACTTCCTTAAAGAGAATTCTAGATTTATTTTTTGTTAGTTGAAAAAAACTGGGACCTAAACAAATGAAGTAAGTTTTCATTCTAATGTGAAGGAGGCAAAAGGGGGAAAAATGATTAAGCCATAATAATTTAAAAGGAAACTAAAGAATAATAATTAAAAGGTTGGCCATGTAGTTATCTGCAGGATATTACAAAATATCAGTTGTATACAATGTAAAGAGATTGCCCTTTTTAAATCTGAGAATTGTGTTTCAACAATTCTGAAAATTTCTCATTATTTTTGTGAATATTACCCATTTGCTGTTTTCTCTGTTATCTACTGGAAGTCCAGCTTGATATAAGTTAAATGTTTTCGGTTTCTTTTCCATGTGTCTTAAGTTCTTTTCTATCTATTTCATCTTTTTGTCTGGATTATATTTTTGGTAGTTTATGCAGATTGTTTTCTAGTTTATTTCTCTCTTCTCAACTCTACTTGGTATTTCATCCATCCTTTGAGTTTTAAATCAACCTTGCATTTTTTTTCATTACAGAAAGTCTTTTCTAAATCTCTTGCTATTTTTTTTTGAGACAGGGTTTCTGTCTGTTGTCTGTGCAGTGGCATCTTAATAGCTCACAGCAACTTCAAACTCCTGAGCTCAAGTGATCCTGCTGCCACAGCCTCCTTAATAGCTGGTACTACCGGTGCATGCTCAGCTAATTTAATTTTTTTCTAAGTTTTGTAGAGACAGGGTCCGTCTCACTATATTGTTCAGGCTGGTGTTGAACTCTTGGCCTCAAACATTCTTCCTTCTATGACTTCCCAAAGTGCTGGGATTACAGTCATGAGCCACCACATCTGGTGGCCTGCTAATATTTTTAAGCTCCTCTTTTATATTCTTTGCCTAATGATGTCAGTATCCAAAGTGTTTGTTGATCTGCTTTCTGCTCTTATGGCACCTTGTTTTCGAGTATATCTTTTGTGATCTTTGAATGTAAACTGATTGTTTTCCTTGGAACTTGATCTATGGGATTCCTTGAATCTTTGGTTCAGATTTATTTCCTCCAGAAAGATGTTTGTATCTGGTCAGTCTTGTTCTGCCTAGGTGAGACCACCTTAAATTAAAATCTCTTCTTGTGATTTTTCTGAATCACCCAGGCAGTTACTAGTGTATATTTGGACCAGAAGCCTGAATGAATGAGGCTGGCTTGTTATTATAAACTTAAATGAGATTTTCATTTCTTTCCTTCAAGTGCCATGGTCAAGACAGGCAAGTTTTTTTGCTATCTTCTTCTGTGTTGTAAGGTTTCTTTCTCTTTCTTCCTTTAGTGCTGGGTCTTTTTTTTAAAGTCCCCATCTTGGGTTTTCCTTCATATCACTCATACCTTATGGGCCTATACATCAAAGCAGAGCTCAAGTTTTCACACTTTGCAGAAACCAGCAGGGCAGAGCAAAAGCTGGCTGTGGTACTTGTTGACCTATTAGAGTTCCTTATTTTGCTTTATTCTAGGTATAATGTATCCTTCACCAATTCATTATTTTTAATGTTTTTTTAATCAGGGTTATTTTTAAATAAGGGTTAATAGGAAGGTAACTCATTTTATTGTCATAAAATGAAAGAATGAGAAGTTACATCCTTTCTCCTCTCTTTTGAAAGAATAATTGGCTTTATTATTCTATAAATGTGCATTCCAAAGAACTATATCAGTGTACAAAAGAATGAAGGAGTGAAACCCAAAGCCCAGAGATCACCTGTTTAAACGTTAAGTGAATAATATTTTAAACATCTCTTCATTGACAAGTGGTGAGAGGCAGGGATAGACTGGGGAAGGGAGGGAGAGACATTGACAGAAGGAAGTTAAACTGAAGGCATTGCTGATTTGTGTAAATGTTTCTTCCCTCCAAGATATTTTAGTTCCTGAGATCCCTCTAAGCTTAAGGGGGGAAAATATGAAAATCATTTTAAGTTGGAATCAGTATTTGTTTTAGACTGCATATTTCAATTTTAGAGACTAATGGTTGGCTCCTTGCTGTGAGGAGTGAGAACATTATTTGCACTTCCTCCCACCTCCCCTCCCCCACCTTATGCCAGTCCTATTTTTCCTCTTTTTAGGTGACTTGCATGTCTGTAGTATTCTTTCTTCAGCTTGAAAGCCAGTAACAATCGGAATATATCTCAGGGTTGATCATTCTTCATTAGGTTTTCCTGGAATACAGTATGCTATTTTGATTTGTGGTGTATAGTTCTTTTGCATTTCAAGGATCTTTTATATCTTTAGGAATTTTTTTATATTTGCTGGGCTTTCTACGTTTAAGACATAACTATTCTTTTATTGGATCACCTTTGCCCTCCACATCTATTTTTTCCACATTCACTATAGATTTCTTAAGCTCTTTCATTATGTCAAAAGTTCAGATTTCAGATATCTCCAGGGGTGGGGAACCTTTGGTCTTAAGGCCACATGTGGCCTTCTAGGTCCTTAAGTGTGGCCTTCTGACTGATCCAGATTTTACAGAACAAAAATCCTTTTATTTTTATTAATATGATTTTGTTCATCTTTTATATTTTATTTTTTAAATGAATATAATACTAAAGAATAAAATAAGTTTCAAATAATCCTCCCAGATTGACTGGCAGTTAGACATTAGTAAGCCATAAGGCTAAAGTGATGGCTGCTACACTCACAATTTAGGTCTAACTTCCCTGGCCTGACTGGTGCCACTACCACAGGAGGCTGGTTGGTGAGAGTTTATGGGGGTCAAGTACACCAGTCTGTTATCAGTTATCAGCTTTTGACAGTGGTGCCCTGTGTTTCTATTTAAAGTGGAATTTGTGAATAGTTGCACAGATCGACAGTATTTTTTAATTCTGTCTGCTTAACAGCCCATCATGTCAAAGAAGACCAAGAGAACATCAAAGAAAACAGATTTTTTAGTTGTTAAAGGAGACCTGGTCAAATCCTAGCTATTCCAACTGATAGTTTTTTCATCTGCAAAGTACTTAACCTAAGTCTCCGTTCTCTCAATGGTTAAAATTTGGATAACAATGTAATAGCAGTAATGAATTTACATGAAGATTAAATGAGGTTTTTTTAAATAAAGAGTTTAAGAGAGTATCTGCAAGTACACAAATGTAAATTACTAACAGTAAGAGTAAACAGTCCTCACTTAATGTTGTCCATAAGTTCTTGGAAACTGCAACTTTAAGTGAGATGACATGCAGCAGGTCCTTGAATTATGTCATTTCATTATAATGTTGATGAGGAAAAAAAAAATTAGTTTTGTTATGCATCCTTTCCAAGAACCTGTCAATGACATTAAGTGAGGACTTACTGTATCCAGATTTAAGGAACTTTTATGGTCATTTAGTGAGGCTAGGAAGTAAATATAAATAATTACAACAGAAGGTATAAATTAATAAGCATCCTAGGAGTTCTGTAGCTGAAGTCTTTGGGGATTTCTTCATAGCAGGCATTCTTTTTAAATAAAGGGGATCAGGAAGACTTTGTTAAAGAGGTAAAGAATATGTTCCTTGGCATACGGCAGGCACTAAATAATTATTGAATGAATACTCCTTTAACAGTGGTTCCACGTGGGAAGAGGCAAAAGAAAAAAAAGGAGGTATCTTTCTGGGCACAGGAAGAAACATGAACAAAAGCAGAGAGAAGGTCACAGGATCTTTATTAGGAGGTGATCTAGGTTTTTGTTTTGTTTCTTTTTTTGTGAATCAGTTATAACTAGCATACAGAGTCCATGAACAGGAGTGATTGAGCCACATTATGAAGACCCTTGCATATTTTCAGACTCATGGGTTTGTGTTTTCTTTGGTAGGTGGGAGACGTCATTGAAGGGTTTCAAATGGCAAATGATAGAATCTTAGCTAGACTTCAGGAAGATGCATTCAACACAGTGCTTTTTTGATCCTAACTCTCTAAGGTGCTTTAGGAATTTGGTGAGTTTGCATTTAAAAGTATTTTGTAGGTGAGGTAATCTAGCAGCAGCTTATACATCCTGATTTGGGACCAAAAGGATGGGAGATGTTTTCTCTGCAGAGCCTGCTCTAGTTGAAAGTGGGGTGAATAGCACCTGGTCAGTCTCATCACTGGTCTGACCCCAAAGCACTGAAATTTCACTTAGTAAAAGGGTTGTGCTGGAAAGAGTTAAAAAACTTACCAATATATGTTGGTTGCCTTTGAACAGAGATTGATTAGAGAAAATTGTTTATTTTTTTCTTTTTTTTGAGACAGAGTCTTACTCTGTTGCCTGGGCTAGAGTGCCATGGCGTCAGCCTAGCTCACAGCAACCTCAAACTCTTGGGCTCAGATTGATCCTCCTGCCTCAGCCTCCCGAGTAGCTGGGACTACAGGCACATGCCACCAAGCCCAGATAATTTTTTCTATTTTTAATAGAGATGGGATCTAACTCTTGCTCAGGCTGGTCTCCAACTCCTGAGCTCAGTCAATCCTCCTGCCCTGGCCTTCCTGAGTGCTAGGATTACAGGCATGAGCCACTGCGCCCGGCCGGAGGAAATAGTTTAATTAGAGCCATTTTGCAGTAATCTTAGCATGAAGTGAAAATAAAGATCTGTTGAAAGAGATATTGTAGAGGTAAGAACTCAGAGACTTAGTGACCTCCAGTATGTGGAAATCTCAAAGATGACAGTGACCTACCAGTGTATCAGTTCATTAACCATATATTCACTATGAAATGTTTGAAATTATGTTAATTTTGACAGGTACAAAATCAACATGCAAAAGAAGAGTCTCTTGCTGATGATCTTTTTAGGTAAAGTTTGATTCAACTACCTCATGTACCTTTTGAGAGATGTATATAAAATCTAGTTCTTATTCATAGAAATATTTTTTTTTGTCCTTATAGACACCTAGTTCCTTCACCTAAAAAATGTTTTTTTAATGTTTCTTTTTATTACTTGAACACCTCTTAATTGGGTTTACTGGATATAGCTTTGAGGTTTGGGGTTGGTCAGTTGTACTGTATCACAAGATACTTAAAATTTGGGGGATTCAGGCAAAAAAGATTTCTCAACTGGGTGAATTTGGCTTATAAATTAAATTTGTGAGATTTGTCAGCTCTGAGTAGAATTACAAGTAAAATGGGTTTTGAATTAAGACAAAATGCCAGACTATTTCATTAGTTTTCATTGGCACATGCATGAAAACGAAAGACTGGATTAGAGTTTCAAAGCAGGTTTTTCTGGGAGGTTTTAAAGGAGTTATAATAGGTGATTATAATTTAATTCTGATTTAGTACACTTTCAGCATTCCTGCAGGCCTAACAAACCTTGTAAGAATTACCTCTCAGATAGTAATAAAATATTAGAGGTAGATACTAAGGGAAAGTATTAATAACATTTTCCCAGACTTTCTTACCCTAGAAATACTATATTTTTGAGTCTGTTTTGCAGCCAATTAGATTTCTGATTGACTGCATTCTCTGATTTCGTAATGCACAATATAAATCACAGGTGAAAACGTTGACAAACAATACTGATTTTTTTCTCAGCTAGATTTGTTCAGCTGCTATAGGAGGAAATTTTGTAAAGTGGTAACTATATTTTAGGTTCTTATGGTCCTTTGTGTACATGATATACTTTAATTTGGGGGAGGTAAAATGTGGGATTTGTTTGAAGCCATTACTGGAAGAGGTATAAACACATCTTGATTTTTAAACTGTTTTGATTAATTATTTTAATGCTTTACATGATTTTTTTATTTTGTTTTTACCAAATATTCATCAAAGCAACATCAGAGGGATAAATGAAAATTAAAATGTCAGTGCTTAATATCTGATCCTAAAGACAAAATTAGTATTTGCCAAAGTGTGACTAGTTTTAAAGCCCTTTGACTTTAAAAGAAATACCATCCCTTATCTAAATATCATTTAACCCTATTTTTTTCTTTGCAGATATAATCCTAATGTAAAAAGGAGAAGATAACTGAGGATTTTTAAAAGAAGCAATGGAAAAATCTTACCTAGTAAGAAGCATTACTTAAGGCTAACTGGGATATATGAATATAGAGAATATTCAAGTTACAGATATTTTATGGCCTAAATTTGTTAAATAAAATGCATAAAACTCCATTTCTTTTTATTTGTGAATATTGTTTGTTCTGTTTTCTGCCTTTGTCATCTCATGAAATTTTTTTTTTCATTTTTAAATGGGTTTTATTTATTGAGTAGTTAAGAGAGTCACAGTTCAACATTGTAGGAGTATGTAAATTACTAAAGTCACCTTTCCAACCACTATCTTAGCTGTTTGGTTCACTTCAGAAAAAAATTCATGATACCCACTTCTTAGAATTAGAGGTTCAATGAACACATTCCAGATGAAATAACTGTACCAAAAAAACAGAAAATGATTGAGAAATTCAATTTGCCACAATTTGCCATGGAGAACTTCAGAAGACTTTCCTGACACTAAAAATTCTAGCAATTTAGGCTGGGCGCAGTGGCTCACGCCTGTAATCCTAGCACTCTGGGAGGCCGAGGGGGGTGTATTGCTCGAGGTCAGGAGTTCGAAACCAGCCTGAGCAAGAGCGAGACCCCATCTCTACTATAAATAGAAAGAAATTAATTGGCCAACTAATGTATATAGAAAAAATTAGCCGGGCATGGTGGCGCATGCCTGTAGTCCCAGCTACTTGGGAGGCTGAGGCAGTAGGATTGCTTGAGCCCAGGAGATTGAGGTTGCTGTGAGCTAGGCTGACGCCATGGCACTCACTCTAGCCTGGGCGACAAAGCTAGTCTCCAAAAAAAAAAAAAAAATTCTAGCAATTTGTGTGAAAATACCGACATTAAGTCCACCTAAATAAATAGAAGTCAAGATAATTACAGCCAATAAATCCAGTGAGACCATGGTATGAGCTGCCATGTCATCTTCAATGAACAAACACTAGTAGAGATCTCAAAGTAATAATTACCTTGGGAATGGAGAAAGAGGGTTTTAATCTTTTCAATTTTAACTTATATAATAATTCTGATAATACCCAAACAGTAATACAATTTTAGAAGTACTTACCATGCCCAAGTATCTTAGTTTCAGTCATAGAAATTAACTCAGTGAACACACAGGGATAAGTAATTCCATTCACAATTTATTGAATTGCAAATCAGATTAATTGTTATGGTGGTTAAGTAGAGAATAAATCTCTGAACAATACCTTAGTGGGTTCTTCGATGTCAAAGTGTATACCAACATAACTGGATTGTTTAAATTATTAGAAGAATATGAAGCATCTGTCAAGGCTTCAACAATAAAAATATTTTCAAAAGACCATCATATTTGGTAATAAATTAGATTTATACAATTGATAATTTCAAAATAAATAAAACCTGAGCTGTAAATGCCTCCTACCCCCACCCAATCCCGGCATACATACCTTATATCCCATATTCATTTAGACCAGTGACTCAATCTTTTCTGAGCATACATACATACCCCTTGGGGATCTTGTTCAGATGCAGTTTCTGACTCTATGTTGTGGGGCCTGAGTCTACATTTCTAACAAGCTACAGATGAAGCTCATGCTGTTAGTCCTGGGACCACCTTTTAGCAACAAGGTGGCCCACTATATAGTTGATAATTTCTGGCCTAATGACTTTGTGGTTTTATAGATTCAAGACTGTAATATTCTGGAATCAAATATAAGAAATACCAAAAATATCACAAAAAATAAGTCTTGGAAGAAAAGAATGTTTTAGTTAAGTGAAAGCTTAAAGTATACCAAGTTGGCAGTGTTTCTACTTGTCTGACAGTGACACCTTTGATAAATTACAATATAAATCAGAATACCAACTTCCGGTAACTTTAAAAAATGAAGTTACTGTAGCTTGAGGCTCTCCCTCCAGTCGAGTCTAAAAAATTCAAGCCAGTACACTGCAAAACCACTATTAAAAACTTTAATGGTAGACCGTCCATTTAAATTTCTTGTAAACTTGCTTTAAGCTATCCCATCTCCTCCTCCTCTTTCAACAAATAAATGCTGCTTTTTCTTCTGTCGTATAGTTAAACAGCGTGTAACACCCAGTGCCCCTCCCTTTAAAAATCGAACAAAATTGTCTCCGACCAAAGGACCCAATGCAAAAAGGTTGGCTTCTTTAACACACTCATAGGTATATGTATCTATTTCCACGGGATTACCCTTACATGTGATTGGCTGACTGGACTTATGGCCTAGGTAACATCCTTGTTCCTTCAGAAAAGACAGATTAGGATGAGAACCTATCAATACTGCTGCTGCAGAAAGCTTAAATATTTTCTTCAATCCAGAGATGCTTTGAAGAATGCATTTCATGTCCGACTTAAAGGAAAGCACATGGTGCTCAGGAAAACTGGTATAATCAGATAAAAGATTTGAGTTTACAGAATATGACTGAGTACACATCATATGATAGACTTTATGATATTCAGGATAAAGCTTTTTGGGAAGCTGTTTGAAAATTAAGCTTGGATCCGTTACTCGTCTGCGAAATACATGTATCACAGGGATGTTATTGTTGTAAGCACACAGTACTGCATCAGCCGCAGTAAGCCCAGAACCTACAATTAACACTGGGTCCACTTTGCCACGCAACTTTCCTTTGCTTATAGCAGCTCCAAATTCAGGCATTGAATGAAACACAAATGGAAAATCTTCCCCTTCGATTTCCAGATGAGCAGGAGAATCCAATGTTCCAGTTGCCAGAGCTACATTCTCAGCAAAAAGACAGAAGGGAACATGAGAACCATCTGCTATTCGCTGATAACCCCTGATTTCCCAGTTTCTCTTGATAAATTTTGATTTCTCTATCTGTAAATGCTTTGTTGAAATGTCTCTGTCTTGACTATCATCATCATCTTGATCTCTGTAGAGTCTTGATACAGAAGTTATATAAGTATTCTCTCTGAAATTCTTCTGAAGACCCATGACTTTCACATAATGTTTATAGTAGCGAGCTATTTCTTCTGGCATAACTCGATCCCCTTTTAGGTTCCTATAAAAGGAAAAGAAAAAATATCCTATGAGAAGAATAGTACTGTTAGTTTCCATGGTTATTACTTCTCCATCTAGTAAGTTTTGTATCTCAAATTCTTCTGGATTGTCTGTTATAAATTATCTTAAAACTTTACCAAAAAAGCTTTTTTTTTCTTTTTTTAGTTAAAAATGTTAATGAATTAGCAACAAAGGAAGACCCATGAGGACAGAGACTGTATTTAATGCATCTTTGTTTCCCCAGTGCCATATATAGTGTCTGCACAAATTAGCTGCTTGATAATCTTTCACTGAATAAATGAAGGGATTAAAATGTAGATATCTGAAAATCAGACTTTATTTTTATTTCTCACAATTATATTCTGTAATGATTGAATGATTTAGATTATAATCACTGAGACACTACCGGTCTAATTGTAATATCTATACTTCTTAAAGATTATATATACCATCCTGACACAATTTTTAGTAAGTTGCTTTCTGTTTTCCTAATGACCGAAAATAATTCAGATCTGTCTTCTGCTAATCAATCATCTTACGTCTAAATAAATCAGAGATAACATTCAATTCTGTTTTCCTACACATAAAGCGATCTAAAAATGATCTGTTCTTTATGAAAAAGGTACAATTTAAAGTGATGAGCAGTACTGTTTCTAAATCCCCTGCCCCAGAGGTAAGCTGCAGCAAAACAAATCATTTGACATAGTTCATTATACAGATGCTCCTCAAATTATGATGGGATGCATCCTGATAAACCTATCATAAGTTGAAAATATCACAAGCTGAAAATGCATTTAGTACACCTAACCTCCAAATATCATAGCTTAGCCTAGCTTACCTTAAATATGCTCAGAACACTTACCCCAGCCTATAGTTGGGCAAAATCATCCAACACAAAGCCTATTTTATAATCAAGTGTTGAGTATCTCATGTGATTTACTGAATATTGTATTAAAAGTGAAAAACAGAACGGCTGTATAGTACTTGAGGTATGGTTTCTACTGAATGCATTATCTGTAGATACGCACCATGCTAAAGCTGAAAAATCGTTCGGTCAAGCCATTATTAGTTGGGGACTGTCTATAATTAGAAATTTGTAAAAATATTTCTTTTTAAAGTTTAATGATTAAGATTTAGAATATATTAGCTCAATTTTTACAGAAACCTTACATAGTAGTTACTACTTCAATCATGTGCTACATTTTGGTCAACGAAGGACCACACATATGATAATGGTTCCACAAGATTATAATGGAGCTGAAAAATTCCTGTTGCCTGGCGACACTGTAGCCATCCTAAAGTCATAGCACAGTTTCTTTCTTTCTTTATAAATTTATTGTAGCCTAAGTGTACATTATTTATAAAGCTTACAGTAATGTACAATAACATCCCTGGCCTTCAAATTCACTCACCACTCACCCACTGTCTTACCCAGAGCAACTTCCAGCCTTGCAAGCTCCATTCACTGTAAGTGTCCTATACAATACCATTTTTAATTTTTATACCATATTTTTACTGTATTTTTTCTACATTTAGATATATTCAGATATAAAAATACCTACCACTGTGGTATAACTGCCTACAGTATTCAGTACAGTAACATGTACAGGTTTGTAACCTAGAAGCAATAGGCTATACCATATAACCAAGGTATGTAGACTATATCATCTATGTTTGTGCAAGTACATTCTATGATGTTCACCCAATGACGAAATCGCCTAGAATGTCGAATTCGTCATTCCTCAGAATGTATCCCTATTGTTAAAGTGACGCGTGACTGTATTATCATCTTCATGTTACAGACTAGTAAACTGGCAACTAGTTTCAGTTATTTACCCAGGGTCACAACATTAGAAGTTACTGAGTCAGGACTCAAACTCTGCCAATCTCTAGAGACCTAAAAATCTGCTCTCAATCCTACACAAAGGCAGCAACTAAAGCTAATATTTGCAACAACAATCATTTTCACATATTACTTCAAAATACGATATGCATAATTCAGAAAAATAAATGTTTCTGGAACATAAATCATAAAGCTTTCCCTTTTTTACACATTTTACAAAGGGAAGAATGTGTTACCCAATTTCACTTGCTTACTTAAGAAAATCAAGAACTTGTAAATCTTGCTTGATTTTACAACTTGAAGTTTCAAACTCATATATAATTCCTTCCTTAAAAACCTAAAATGAATTTTTTGAAAAGTTTAATTGCTATTAAATGATCTAGATTTGTTCTCTTAAATCTCCTCAAATTAAGGAAAATTTCTATGGATTAGAATGCTTCCTATCTAGCAGGAAGTCAAGTACTCAAATGTTACATCCCTGTTCTAACAAAGTTTAAGTAACTTCCTGCTTCGACTCATTGTTTCTGTGAATAGTCAAACTAAAGTAGATTCTCTGTTTTAGTAATTCCTATCTAAGTTTTAATATACTTGAAAAATGATACAGTTTTTCATTTTTCTTTTTTTAGACTTTGGGTCCTTTACTACAAAATAAAAACATTATTTTTCTAAGATGAGATTTCTTCTAAGTTACTCCAACTTTCATACTTTTTGTTAAATATTTACCTTCATACCAAGAGGCCAACCATATCCCAAATTCTTGTTTATTCCATCATTCTAAATAACCAATCACATAATACACACTCTTTACCAGTAAAGTCAAAAACTTTAGGTATATACACATGAGCTATGCATATATTAAGTTATATATCAACTCACAAAAATAAGTAGCTGAAAGTGTAAAAAATAGTTATGTGGGTGGATGAGAAAATAACTAAACAGAGAATGACTTAACAAGAAAGTGGGATAAATTCATAGGAAACCACCCTGCAGATAATACCTTACACTTCTGTGCTTAATTTTACATCATCTCTAAATGGAAACTAGCTCATTATACTCATTGCTTTAAGAAGGCATTTTTATTTGAAAGACATATATATTTATATGCTTCATCTGTGAGAGAATCACAAATATTTTGTGATTTTCCCACAGTCTGTTTTTCAATGTGCAGCAATGGATTTTAACAGAGTTTGATCTTTACCTTCGTTTGCTTGACACCCAGTCCTTAAATTTAAGTCCAGGTAACTCCATCCAATTTCCAAAGCTGATTGTCAACATGGAGCCTTCCATATTCTATTGGAATAAAAAAAAGCACAGTCAAAAAACACAATTAAGTAGCAACCTGAATTTTTTTTTTTAGCCAAACCGATGTCATTTACAATCACAATAAGGTCAAGCAATCCTAAATGGTTACGTAAATTACCTCTAAAACTTTATTCCAATAAGCTTTTATAAACTTTCATCATTTGGTATTATCCATCTGTTTTTCTTCTTTCATATAGTTACACATTTATAAAATACATTTACAGTATTACCCAACACAATTGTTGACAGCTTTGGCCTATGATCAACATGATAATTCAGAAGTATAGTATCATGTTAGAGAACAAACCAGTATTTTCACTTTTTAAACAAAAGGAAAATGTTCACTAATTTCCAAAATTTTAGATATTTTTAATATTATTTTAATATTATTAACACATTTTTAAAGATTAGCAACAAGCTTTTAGTCCTTCATCAGTTATAATTCTAAAGTCTAGGCTGATTTGGATACAGCAGTATCTCTTCCTAAGGATAGAGAAATAAGCAGTGGTTGCCTGAGAAATAGACTCACTGCTGAGACTAATAATGCTACCATCAAGCTCCCTTGACCTACTTCTACTTTGCTCAATACAAAGCAGGAAAAACCCCGGGGCCAAGGATCTACTATCCCAATAACCTCAATGATCTCTTTCAAGCAACTCTAAATTTTAGGCAATCGCTTCTTTTCTCATAAATTCCTGCCCTGCTTCTATTCAGCCCAGTTTGGAAATGAGGCATATTATTATTACAACTGGCTAACATTCACAGAGTACTTACTATATGCCAGGCCTCGTGAGACATAATTTGTGACAGGACATATTAATAGATCACCACAGGGAGAAAATGGAGCAAGCAGCCACTGCTTTGAGGCAGGCTGGCCCTGATACTAGGATCAGAACCAAGAAAATGGAAAACCACAATCATCATAAGAGGAGCTGTTAAAGAATATTTTTACATATCAGAGATTTTTCTGGAGCCGTAAGAGTTTCATATGGAACTCTAAAACCTTAAAATACTACTACCAGCTTTTTGACAGCAATTTCCTAACTTTATTCCCAATGCACCCGTTCTCCCAGTTGGCTGAGACCCTTGTCCCTTGATCTCTTCATTTTTCTCCTAATCTGCCTTTCTTGTTTTCCCTATGCAATCTACATGTTGTGTGTGAATGTCTGCTATCATGGAGACTGCAGTGTATTAACGGATGTAAATGGGACAGAAGTACAGCAGGAACATATAAAAAGTATCTATTTCTTTAAGGACACAAATGGGCTTTGAGGAGTGTACCATTACAAAGGAAGAATATCCCAGGCAAAATAAAAAATTCATGTGACAGCTTAATAAAGAGAAAGAACATGAGAATCCTTCAAGGAATTAAAAGAAATGCAGCCTTGTGCAGCAAAGGATTAACTCGGTATCCCTGGTTCTTGGCCGCCACCTCATAGGAGATAACCTGAGCCTCTGGAATATTCTACCTGATGAGTGTGTTTTGTTGCATGCCTGAGGCCTTGGCCATGCTGCACCAGTGTGACCATGTGGGTTTATCCTAACAATGTGATTTATGTGAATATCAGTTTTTGCTCTGGGAGGCAGAGGTCAGAGTAGCTAAAGCGAATCACTGCTGGCCTACATAACTGACCCCATTAAAAAAAAAATCCCTGGACACCCCTCATGGGTGAGCTTGCTAAGCTTTCCTGGTTGGCTACTCTTCACAAGTGTTGTCATGCCTCGTTGTTGGCAGACTGACACACATCCCCATGTGTCACTAGAAGTGGACATCTAGATGCTTACTTGGTTTCTCCTTGACTTTGCCCCATAAGTCTTTTCCCACTGTTGACTCTAATCTGTATCCTTTCACTGTAATATGCTATAACCATGAGTATACTATCTTTTCTTAGTCCTGTGAATCCTAGTAAACACCGAGTCTGAGGGTGAACTTGGACTTCTTAACACAAGTATGCTGGAGCACAGAATGTGAGAGAGAAAGAAGAGTAAGGCAAGAAAGCTAAGGAGGGGATAGATCACAAGGAATATAGTAAAATGCATTAGAAAGTCTGCACATTGTACATTGGATGGATGGGGAGCAAATGAAGGGTTTTCTCCATAGGTATAACATTGCAGATGTGTATTTTAGAAAAACAACTCTGGCTTTAGTATGGAGAATGGACTGAAGATGACAAGATGAGTGGGAAAACCATTTTGAAAGGATTTGCAATAATTTGGGTGAAAGACAATGGTGGCAAATATTAGCAAAGTTACAATTATAACAGGAAGAAATAGAATAGATGGATTCAAAATATGTTTATTAGAAAGAAAAGATTGGGTGATTAACTTGAAATGGGAGTTGAATAAAGAGAAATCAAGGTTTCAAGAAATCCCAGGTTCCTGACTTCAGTAAGTATATGACAGTGCCATTAATGATAAGGAAATTAAAAGCATTTGATAATAAAGGTGATTCGTTTTAGGCATGTTGAGTGCGGAAATCTGTGAAATAATCAAGGGAATATATTTAGTTGGATACATGAGAAAAAGCAATCTTGGGCCAGAAATTTTGATTTAGGAATCAATTGGCATCCATACCCAAGTCACTTAAGTAGATAAGATAACCCAGGGAGAATGAACAGTATGAAGAGAAGAGCTTGAATTGGGATAGTCTGTAGAAGCACAGTTTTAAAAGAACAGGAGCCCAAGTAAGTGAAAAGGAGTGACCAAATAGGAAGAAAAACAAGGACACTGAAGGTTCAGAGAACCTAAAAAGACATTAACACTGTCAAATGCTGTAGAAGTCTAGAAAGATAAATTTTGAGACTCTTCATCAAATTAAGCAAAAAAGGAAGTTACTGACCTTCAGAAAAAACATTTCTAGTGGAAAACCAGTGACAGAAGCTAGTATGAGTAAGCTAAGGAGTAAACAGAAAAGGCATGAAAATAATATGTAAAGGTAATTATTTCAAGAAGTTGGCTGGCTATAAAGCAAAGGATACAGATAAACTGGCACCTAAAATCTTTTTAAAGATGGAAATAATTTTAGCATGCTTATACTGGTTTACATGACCAATAGAAGCCAGCAGAGAAATTAAAGATGCAAGAAGAGAAGGGGAAAATCAAATAAATAATGTCCTTAAGAAGCTAGGGATCCAGAATATAGCTGGAAGGTGAGCCTTACACAGAAGTGATACCTCTTCCATTATAACAGGGGTCAAGAAACAAAAAATTAGCACGAATACAGATAAGTTTGTAGGTTTGTGTGTGAAAATTTAATTCTGAAAGTGTGTTCAATCCTGATGGATTACATTTTCTCTGTAAATTAAGAACCAAGAGCATTTCTAAGCATGACAGAGAAAAAAAGAGATAAAGTTTCGAGAAGAACTTAAGGAAAGTTGTCAAGCAGCACTCAGGGCCCAACTGAGGCTGAAAAATACTTTCACAGTTGTATGGCTTTTTTACCTGGGGATTTGACAGGTCAAGTATAAGAAAAGATCAAGTGGACAGTTAGATGAATAGATTAATTGCTTTTTTTGCCAAACCCACGTGATGGTAGGACAATGGGTCAAGGGAATTAAGGAGAATGGTTGTATCAATGAACTACTGAACCTAAGCTGGATAGATAAGGGGGTGAAGATCAGGGCCTGGAGCACTTTCTGTGTTTGAAGATTACTTATGGTCTGAGTAACTGAGTGATGCAGCTAGAATAACAGGAAGTTATGATAAGAAAGTAAGATATCTGAGAACTGAGGTTTTCACAAGTTGAGTAGTTATGAAAGATAAGATCTACAGTAGAGCCACTGAAGACAGTAGCTAATGAACAATAAAAGAGAGTATCATTAGGAATGAGAAGATTAAAAGACTAAGAGATTAAGGTGTTGGCCTGTGTCATGAATGTACAGATAAATTCATTCAAAGTGATATTAAAACTTGGAATATAATGGAAGACCATGAGTTAGGTGCCACAGATTCAGTAATTGATGGAGACAGTGTGGAATAATAGAGAAGCCAGAAAAATGGCAAGACCTGTTCAAAGGAACAAGAGATTTTACACAAGAGCAATGGGGAATAAAGAGAACACCAACCTCACTAGCCAACCTGTAAGACAGGGCATGGAACTATGGGAGAATGAACAGGATCCACATCAGAGGGCGGCAGTGTGAACCCTATCTTCAGGAAAGAGTAAGCTTTCAAGAAAGGGAGTAGAAGCAGCACATAGCTGAAACGGTTAAGAATGTAGGAAAGCTTGTTTATCACTAAGTGGGGTTCAAGATGGCATAGTCAATAAATTTGGAAGAGAAGAGAGTGGTGACAAGCTGGATCACAAGAGAAGCAGAGTACTGCATAGAGATGATTATGAAGCAGAAAACTATATGGCGATGAGTATGACAGAAGAAATGACTTAAGGAGCTTATATCTTGAGTAATGATTGAGATTAACTGGGATGCATATAAAGCAAGGCGGGGGGATGACTGCATAAACAGGTAAGTAGTACTACAGGAAACAATGGAAAGACTAAGAATAAGATATGGAATACAACTGGGAACAAATAATTTTGCCTGGGAAAGTCAGAAACCTTCAGAGAGGTGATGCTTGACAACTGGATCACAGCTCAGATATCATTTATGTATATCCCTTCTCTACTGAATAAATGCCTTAAAAAAAAAAATCAGGAATTTTTAGGTATATTTCAAACTTTATACCAACTCAAAATGTGTTTTTAATAATCGAGGTTTATCTATACTTTAACTTTTCTATATGTAAGTGAAAAAAATGAAGTTAACACAAAGATCAATTATTGCCTATATATTCTTCTAAGCAGAAAAATTTAAGTATAATAAAACCTCAGGAATTTAAGGCAATTTAAATGCTCTCCCTACTCCCAAATGTATTACAGCTTTTTCTAGAAATGTAGCTTTATTAAGAATGTTACTCATTAATAAAGCAAATATAGACACTTAAGCTTTGGGAGCGACAAAATTCTTATCTTGGTGGTTTCACTGTTACAGACATTTGTTACAGCTCATCAAATTATACACTTTAAATGGGTACAGCTTATTGTATGTAAATTATGCTTAAATAAATCTGATATTAAAGAACTAAAAGACAACACTTAAGGTAAAAGGCACAGATAATTTGGTAGCTGCTATTTATTATCATAAAGAAAATCAAGATTCAAAAAAGAAAATCAGTGATATATTTAATCTAGAATTGTCCCGTTACCCTAAAACAGTCACTTATTAAACGTAAACAATTTTAGATGTATATAATATTGCACTAATATAGGAACAGCCAACTGAAGTCTGTACTAAAAATTCTATATTCAATATAATAAAGTTCCCATGAATTCTGTATTTTATAATACAACAAACTAAATTATTTAACATCTATTTGTACAACAAATGAACAGTTACTGCACATTAAATACTGTGTTAACTGCTAAGGACACAGGAGTGAAGGATAGTTATTAGTTACTGGCCCTCTAATGAAATATGCTAAATGAATCTTTAGTTTACTGGTTCTCTAGTTTACCCTCTGTAATGGACTGAATTGTATACTCTCAAAATTCTTATGGTGAGCTCCTAACCCTCAATGTGAGTGAGTGTACTTGGACATGGAGCTTTAGGGTTAGATGAGATCATGAGGGTGGGACCCTCTTAACAGGATTCGTGACTTTATAAGAAGAGAAAGGGGGATTGCTCACTGGCACTCTCTCTCTCTCTCTCTGCCATGAAGACACAGCGAGAAGGCAGCTATCTGAATGCCAGGCAGAGGGCCCTTACCAGGAACCAAATTGGCTGAAATCTTGATCTTGGGCTTTCCAGCCTCTAAAACTGTGAGCAATAAATGTCTGTTGTTTGAGCCACCCATTCTGTGATATTCTGTTATAGTGGTCAAGCAGATTAATATAACCTCTTTCTTTTACAGTACATTTTTCCTTTAAGATCTTGAAAATGTGGGGAAATAACAGATACTGGTTTGAAATACCATGTGAGATTTTGTAAACTCTAAAATGAATAAATGAATTTTGAATTTTTTTATATAAAACATTCTTGAAATGTTTTCTATGTAATGCTAAGATAGTATAGAGAAATGTTTATTCTAAGACTATATCAGTAATCTAATTTGGCTTAATTAACTGCTATTAGTAATTAACGTAAATTTAACTAACTGGACAGCATTAAAATTTCTCTCAGACAAAAATGTGATAAACATATATTTACACTATTATCATAATATGATAAAAAATCAAGATGGTCTTATCAAGATGAAATATAGTAATTTCACATACACTAAAAAGTTAAAAAGTATATACTCACATGCCAAGCCCCACCAGGTGGACCTTTACCAAGAACTAAGTGAGGGATATAATGATGTTGTTCTAATTTCCAATGCAAAACAGATGGATAATCATACCCAAAGTCAGCATCTGGATGAAGAAGTGTGTCAAAAAGTACTGCAACTGGATTGGAGGATCGGCCCTCAAGGCCCTCAGACAAATATTCTAAGTCCTGAATGGGAAAAAAAAAAAGGAGATAGAGTCTTTAAAAAGCCCAAACAGTGATCATAATAATAGTGAAAGTCATTACTCTAATACAGAACTTCTCAGATATCCTGGCTATAAAATATAAAACACTGACGTTCCTTGAAATCTTAATAGATTCTTTGATCAAATAAATACAGGAGAAGGTTGTTTCAATAAAGCTAACCAGATTCTTATACCACAAAACTTGAAGATGTCTTTAATGTGCTAATGTCTACCACGATACTCCAATAATAAAAAGCAGTACCTCCCAAATTTATTTTAGTACAGAGCACCTATTAAAACTCCATGAGGAAATAATTTAGGAATTCTACTCTACCAAATTCAAGAACATAAATGGAACTAACTCAGCAGAATATATTTGTGAATCTAAAATAAAAAGGATAGAAGGTATTGTTTCTGTCTAAGAAACAATGCTTATAGAAATAAAATCTAATTGTTTCAGTAAAAAAAAAAAATTTCAAGATGGACATGTAAGAAATAATACCTGATCAACAATGGAAAGATGTCTTGCTTCTTCTAATTTACTATGTAAGACTGTATTTGGGTGTATTGCTTCTGATGATAAATATGGTCTGTAGCCTGATAACATATAAGAAAGGCATATTCCTGAGGGTCCATTTCCTATTTAAAAAAAAAAAAGGTGGAAAGGTATACATCATGCAACTTAATATTCTTGTTCCTTGGCTTTTCTCCTACTTCAAAATTGGCTCCTCTCCGTCACCAATTCTTCTTTCTCTAATCTTTTCGATCCAGATGTTTCACAAGATTCTGACCTTTGTTTCTCTATTTTCTTTTGAGAAACTCATCTATTCAATGCTTCAACTTTCTATGCTACTGATTCCCAAAATTAATTCTCCAGGCTGACAGGAGATATATCCCACATTCCATATGCTACTTCTTCATTCCACCTGACTGACAATAACTTAAACACAGTGTGTTTAAAAGGAAACTCATGAGTCACTTCATTCAGATGACCTCTCTCTTTCAAACCCCATCCCATCTCCAAAGATTGTACTTGCAAACTCCAAAGTTAATAAGGTCTGGTTCTAAACCTATTTTGCTCCCATATCCATTCAGCTGTCTTGACTATTCTCACTCCTGTACCTTCACCTAAAAGATAAAAGTCTCCTACTGCTTCTCCTTCTTAAGATTCACCCACTCCCAAACCATTTCATATACTACATTCAGAAAAGTTTTGGTAACACATAGTCCTCACGTTACTCCTCTATTCTAAAGGCCTCTCGTGCTTCTTTCTGACTATCCCATCTGGGTTCTGGTCTCAACCGTATTTTCAGTCCCAACTCCTAACACTGCCTTCCTATGTTTATGTTCTTTAAATAAAACTAAACTGGATTTGATGGTGAACTACTTCCATTTTTGTAGTTCTTTTAGTCTGGGTTGACACTTCTTTATTATCTCTACCAAAAATTTAATCCAGCTGAGACAACTTACTAGCCATGAAGGAAAAGAATCCCATTTCTTGCCTAATACATTACCCCAAATAAAATATGCTCAAAGATGTAAATAAGAAAAATAAACCATAAGAATATTAGAAACAGGGTAATATTTCTACTTATACTGCTGGAGTGGGAAGACTTAAGTCTGACAGAAAATTCTAAAGACAGAAGGGAAAATAAACCATTTGACTTCATAAAAATAAAAAACAAACGGTAAACAGGAGGAGTTGGGATCTGAGGCAAGTAGCTAGTTTGCTTGAATCAAAAAGAAAGACAAAATTAATGAAGACAAATGATATGCTAGTATTAATAGCTACAGAAAAAACATCTGACAAAATCTAACATTCATTCATGATAAAAAAAAGAAAAAAACCTCTCAATAAATCAGGAATAGAGGGGAACTTCCTCAACATGATAAAGAGAATCTACAAAGAATCTACTAGATGCTTTCCCTCTAAGATAGGGAACAAGACAGGGAAGCACCTCTCACTATTCCTACTCAACACCATAATGGAAGTCCTAGCTAATGCAATAAGACAAGAAAAACAAAAAAGATACACAGATTGGGAAGGAAGAAATAAAACCACCTTTGTTTACAAATGACATGATCATCTATGTCAAAAATCCCAAAGAATCAACCAAAAAAACTTCCTGGATCTAAAAAGCAATTAGAGCAAGATGGCAGGATACAGGTCAATATACAAAAGTCAACTACTTTCCTTTATACCAGCAATGAACAAGCTGAATTCGATATTAAAAATACAACATATTTACATCTGCACCAAATACTTAGGTATAAATCTAACAAAAAATGTACAAGATCTATATGAGGAAAACCACAAAATGCTGATAAAAGAAATTAAAGAAAAATGACATAAATAGAAAGATATTCCATGTTTATGGATAGAAAGACTCAGTACTATTGAGATATCAGTTCTTCCCAACTTGAGGTATAGATTCAACACAATCCCAATTAAAAAATCCCAGCAAGTTATTTTGTAGATATTAACAAATTGATTTTAAAGTCTATATAGAAAGGCAAAAGACCCAAAGTAGTTAACACAATATTAAAGAAAACAAAGGCAGAGGACTGGACACTACCCAACTTCAAGTCTTACCATAATGCTACAATAAACAAGACAGTATGAAATTAATGAACCAATAGAAAAACAGATAAATGGCACAAAAATAGAGTACACAGATATAGACCCACATAAAAATAGTCAATTGATCTTGGACAAAGAAGCAAAGGCAAACCAATGGAAAAAGGACAATCTTTCAACAAATGGCACTGGAACAACTGGATATCCTCTTATAAACATATAAATCTAGATACTAAACTTACACCTTTCACAACAATTAATTCAAAATGGATCATAGACCTAAATGTGAAATGCAAACTGTAAAACTTTTAGAAGATAACCTAGAAGAAAACCTAGGTGACCTTGGGTCTGCTAATGAGTTTTAGATATAACACCAAAAGCAGAATACATAAAAAAAAAATTTGTAAATAGGACACCATTAAAATTTAAAACTTCCGCTCTGCAAAAGTTACTAAGAGAATGAAAAGACAAGTCATAGAATCAAAGAAAATATGTGCAAAACACATATATAATAAAGTACTCATATCCAAAATATACAGAGAACTCTTAAAATTCAACAATAAGAAAACAAAACAATCCAACTAGAAACTAGGCAAAAGATCTGATCAGATACCTCACCAAAGATAATAGAGACAGCAAATAATATTATGAAAAGATGCTAAGCATCATACATCATTATGGATTGCAAATTAAAACAATGAGATACCAGTACCTACCTATTAGAATGGCTAAAATCCAAAATATAGACCACACCAAATTCTGACCAGGATGTGGAACAACAGGAATTCTCATTCATTGCTACTGGAAATGCAAAATTATCTAGCCACCTTGCAAGACAGTTTGGCAGTTTCTTACAAAAACAAACAGTCTTACCATATGATCCAGCAATTATACTCCTAGGTATTTGTTCAAATGAGTTAAAAATTTATGTTTGTGCAAAAACCTGCACATGAATGTTTATAGCAACTTTATTCATAATTGTCAAAAACTGGAAGCAACCAAGATGTCCTTCAAAAGGTAAACAAAATGAGTAAACAAACTGGTACATCCATACAATGAATCATATTATTCAATGATAAAAGGAAATGAGCTATGAAGCCACAAAAAGACATAGAGAAACCATAAACGCATACTGCTAAGTGAAAGAAGTCAGTCGAAAAGTTTATATACTGCATGACTCTATTATATGACATTCTGGAAAAAACAAAACTATAAAGACAGCAGAAAGATAAGTGGTTGCTAGGGGTTGAAGGTTGAGGGAAGGTAAGAATAGGTAGAACACAGACTTATAGAGCAGTGAAAGTATTTTGTATGATACTGTAATAGTGGATACATGACGTATACACTTAGAAAATCTACAGAACTGTACATCACAAAGAGTGAACCCTAAACTACAGCTTTTAGTTAATAATAATATACCAATATTGGTTCATCAACTGTAATAAACATACCATACCAATGCAAGCTGTTAATTTTCGTAACAGGGTAAACTAAGAGGAGAGGAAGAGTATATGGAAACTCTTTCTATCTTCTGCTCAATTTCCCTGTAAACCTAAACTGTTGTGAAATATAGAGCCTATTAATAATAAATACATAAATGAATGACAAATGGGGGAGTTAGGATCTGAGGCAAACAGCTAAGTTTCTGGAAACAAAAAGATGCAATACACAAAAGACAGTAAGCAAAGAATACAAACGGGTAGTTCGCAGAAAGATGTCCCAGTCCTAACCCCTAGAACCTGCCAGTGTTATCTTGTAGATGTGATTAAGGACCTTGATATGGGCAATAGCCTGGATTATCCAGGTGAACCCAATCTAATCATGAGTCCTTAAAAACAGAAAACCTTTCCCAGCTATGGTGAAAGGGAGGCATGACTACGAAAGAAGGTTAAGAAAGAAACATTGCTGGTTTTGAAGATGTAGAATGGAGCCAGAAGCTAAGAAATGTGAATAGTCTCTAGAAATTTGAAAAAGCAAGGAGATATTCTTCCCTAGAGTCTCCAGAAAGTAATACGACTCTATCAACACCCTGATTTTAGCCCAGTAAAACCTGTGTTAAATTTCTGACCTGCACAACAGTAAGATAATACATTTATGTTATTTAAAGCCACCAGGTTTCTTTTGTGGTAATTTGTTACAACAGCAACAGAAAACGAATACATATATTAGGGAAATTATCTCTTTGCCTATCATCAGGTTAAGCTACCTATGGGCTGGCTAAGGCAAAACAGGGATAGATAGTCTTGAGAGAAGTGAAATGGGCAGGTACAGATGAAGGTATTCTTTCCTTTTCTGACCAACCCATAGCCTAACCAGCCTAAGAAGATAGTGTTCCTTTACTCATTCTAAGATACACAGGATAGAAAAACAAGGTTGGACAAACAGGAAAAAAATGAAACACAATGTCTGGTCCCTTAGATCTATGTCGGATGGGAACTACTACAAAAACTGTCTCTATTAGATCCTCTAGAGGAGAATCTAAAAGAACAATTTTGTTCTCCTCCTTTTTTTCCTTCCATTATAGCATCTCCCATATGCCAGTCAGAGGACATTAATTATCTTTCTTTTTTCCTACTAACTTTGAAACAAACTATCAAAGAAATTCAGGAAGTCATATGCCACCAAGACATCTACATCCCATAACTCTCTCCTCTGGCTTAGCTGCACACTAAAGTATAATACTTGTTTGACTTCCTTGAGTTTGTATATTAGGTGAAAAATATACATGACACGTAATTAGATGCATGCAATAAAACTAAATTATAAAAATTTATAATTCTGAATTAGGTTGTATTAATAGTTTAATTTTTAATATTTTATATGCCTATCTGTTGAGGTGGTACAAAGGACATATAAAAGTAAGGTTACAGCCAAAGTAATTATAAACATTACTGTAGAGTACTATAATGTCATTGCTAATTGAGCACTGGTTACTAGCTTGCATAGGTCACTCCTGAGTCAGTTTCTCTGTCTGTATGTGCCCTACTAACATCAGAAGGCTACTGAGTTGTAAGGTATAATCCAATAATACACAGAATTCTCTATACAAAGCCCTAATAATAGTAGTTATCATCACTACCACAAAACCGTCATATAGTTAACACAACTGATAGGCAATATTTTAAAATAATGTAGTAATATCAGCCCTTCAATGAAAAGATAATTGCATTTTAACACAGACCCTAACATCAGATAAAGCCATTACGTACTCCAATGATTTGGTTATTAGTTATTTTAGCAAATATTTTAGAAAACAACTTAATAATACTTTTCAATACAATCTTAAGAACTTGCACTATCTACCTATAGATTTATAAAAGCAGTAAGGGTCATACTGTAATTTTAAGAGATAAAAATACAATAACTTACCTATTATTACCACAGGCAAAGTCACTGATGAATCTTCAAGTAAAGACGTTTCTTCAACTAATGGCATAGCTTTAACTTTTTGCCCCAAATTATCACCAAAATATTGCACTAAGGAATTAAAAATCTCTCCTTCAGTTTCAGTGTCACTATAGTTTCTTTAAAGAAAAAATAAAAAGGAACAAAAACAAGAGATACAGTCAACATAGAATTTATAGTCTTTACACAGATTTTATTTAAGCCAGAATATATATAATAGTTTCACAGGAGAAAAGGAAATTGTTTCTGATTAATGCTTTCAAATTAGTAGCTCAGCTACGTCAACCTGTACCAATTTGAAAGCCCCAAATCCTAAATAACTTCTTATCTCTCATTAGTATCTTGTAGACAACTCCCTACTAAATAAGCAGCTCTCCTTAATGACCAAAGACGGCATTGTATTGGGGATTTTATAATTCTCTGAGATCTCCTAGGAATGGCTAAATTCTCCCTTACTTTTTTCCTATTAACTAAAAAGTGAGTGTACTAAAGACAATATATAGTCACATATATTTTATGTAAAAGTTATCATACTTATAAATTGTGCATTTTGGTAAAAGAAATATCGTATATTTTATCCTCAAAAATAAATTAAAATGAGCTTAATGTCGACTTCCAATCTTTCTTTCCCAATTGCCTCCCTAGAAACTAGTTTTAGCATTTTGACATGTTCACGCAATAAATGGAGTTTGCCATGAACACAGTCACTGTTCTGCATTACTTTAGGACAGAATGCCCAAATTATTTTTCATCTTCATACAATCAGCAATAGCTACAATTTCTGGAAGTATTAAACTGTGTACCTCCTAGTGGGTGAGTGTGTTTATTACTCTTCCCAAATGATAAATGAATATGGAGTGGATCAGTTATTTCACAGGACTCAAGTCAACTCAATAATCCCAGAGGAGATTGATCAATCGAAAGAATTAAGCAGAAATAGGAATCTCTGCTTCCCTATAACTTTCAGAGTTCACAATCTAGCCTAGCATAGGGCAGAGTTCTTAGGATATACTAAGCAATTTCCTGAGTCAAAGAAAGTAACCTCTACCCCCAAATATTTGGACTCCCCTTACATGGCTTCTTTAACATATGCATCCAAAACATATGCATCAAGCATGGCTGCTAAGGGAAACCCTTCTTCACACTGCAAGTCTACCCATGGAAGAAGTGTCTTCTACTCGATTCATCCCTTTCTGAATCATTCCAACTACTGCCTCTGATCAAATCCAGATGCATCTGCTGTCTTGCCAGCGCCTCTTCTTGGCAACTGAACAT